GCTGCTGGTTGTGCAGAGCATTGTCCATGGCTCCCTGTCCCCTGGTGCTGTCTGAGGCCCCTTCCCTGGCTAAGCAGCCTCTGCCCCTTTGCTCACCCTGCATTGCTGAAGCTTCTTCATGCCGTGCTGCTTCTTAAATCTCTTCAGTAATCTTTGTGCTGCCCTTTCTCTTGGACATTCACTTTTCCCTCTCCCAGGGACGTGTTTGCTAATTTGGTCCTGCGCTCTGCTGATGGGAGGTGGGGAGTTGACATTCCTCACCCCCTGCCTTTGCAGTGACCACCCCCAGTGACAGCTCCCTTGCAGTCCCTGAGCTGTGTGGCCCCCCTGACGGTGCCTGTGGGGCTGTTGCAGGTGGACAATGCCCAGGCGTTCGTGTGGCTGTCGCAGCTCCGGCACCGCTGGTCGGACGAGGAGCGGCACTGCTTTGCCAACATCTGTGATGCCCAGTTCCTGTACTCCTATGAGTACCTTGGCAACACCCCCCGGCTCGTCATCACCCCCCTGACTGACAGGTGAGGCCCTGGAAAACACCAGCACAGCCACGTGGCTGGAGGGAGAGCTGCCAGCTAAAGAGGGGTTCATTTTGGACCCCCACACCCCTCTGGCTCTTCCTTGTGTCCCAGCAATCCTCTGGCAGAGCTCCAACTCTCACCTTTTGTTACAGAATCACAGAATCAACCAGGTTGGAAAAGACCTCTGAGATCACCAAACCCAACCTGAGACCCAACCCCACCTTGTCACCCAGACCATGGCACTGATGCCACATTCAGTCTGTCCTTAAACACCTCGAGGGATGGGGACTCCACCCCCTCCCTGGGCAGCCCATTCCAGTGTCTGATCCCTCTCTCTGGGAAGAACTTCCCAGTGTCCAACCTAAACCTGCCCTGGGGCAGCTCAAGGCTGGGCCCTCTTGTCCTCCTGCTGGTTCCTGGGAGCAGAGCCCGACCCCCCCCGGCTCCCCCTCCTGTCAGGGAGTTGCAGAGAGTGAGAAGGTCCCCTCTGAGCCTCCTCCTCTCCAGGCTGAGCCCCCCCAGCTCCCTCAGCTGCTCCTCACAGCACTTGTGCTCCAGACCCTTCCCCAGCCTCGTTGCCCTTCTCTGGACACCTGGTTTGGGATCTTATGGTGTTGCCCCCTGGGGTGTCTGTGCCTGGGATCCGATCCCAGGGTGGGATTCAACTCCCAGATGTCCACTGTGGGTGTCTGCCTGGGCAAGGTGTCCACACCCTGCAGGGCTGGTGAAGTCCAGAAGCTTTCATCTCATCCTGAGGAGACATTTGCCACTTGGTTCACCTGTCTCAGTGGGGATACCTGGGGTGATGTGACATGCTCTGAGTTGTCCCACCTGGATTTAGCCTGAAGGAAAGGAGGCTCAGGAGGGATCTTCTCACTCTCTAAAATTCTCTGAGAAGAGGTTGTAATGAGGTGAGGGTTGGACTCTTCTCCCCAGTAACAAGGGTGAGAGGAAATGGCCTCAAGTTGCATTGCAGAAATTTTAGATTGGATTTTAGGAAAAAAATTCTTCACTGAAAGGGCTGTCAAGCTTTGGAACAGGTGGAATCACCATCCCTAGAAGTGTTCCAAAAACACATGGGCGTGGCACTTGAGGACCTGGTTTAGTGCTGAACAGAGTGGTGATGATGGGTTGATGGTTACACAAAAGGGCTTTTCCAACCTTGACGATTCCATGATCCTGTGGGGAAGTCACAGCAGGGCAGAGGTGGCTGTTAATGCCCAAGAGGGCTTTCAGCTTGGACACGGGTCCTGCTCATGCAAGGAGAGCTTTCCCAAGAAGGACTCAGGGCTCTCTGGAGCTCATTGCCCAAGTACCATGTCCCTGCAGCCTGACCTGTGGGACCATCTCAGTCTGTTTCCCTTTTCCTTCCTCCTTTCCCGTGGCAGGTGTTACATCACCCTGACCCAGTCCCTGCACCTGACCATGAGTGGAGCCCCTGCAGGCCCTGCAGGCACCGGCAAGACGGAGACTACGAAGGATCTGGGCCGAGCCCTGGGCGTGATGGTGTACGTGTTCAACTGCTCTGAGCAGATGGACCACCAGGTACTGCTCCCTGGGCCACAGGGCTGTGTCACACAGGCACAGAGTGTGCTGAGCTGGGACCCACAAGGATCATCCAGTCCAACCCTCAGCCCTGCACAGCCCCATCCCCAAGAGTCCCACCCTGTGCCCCAGAGGATCATCCAAACCCTCCTGCAGCTCTGGCAGCCTTGGGGCTGTGCCCACTGCCCTGGGGAGCCTGTTCAGTGCCCAACCAGCCTGTGGGGGAAGAACCTTTTGCTGAGATCCACCCTGAGCCTGCCCTGACACAGCTCCAGCCATTCCCTGGGGGCTGTCCCTGGTCCCCCCAGAGCAGAGCTCAGTCCTGCCCCTCCTCTGCCCCTGCCCAGGCAGTTGGAACTGCAGGGAGGTCTCCCCTCAGTCTCCTCCAGTCTCAATATGTGGGGCTGGAGGCGCTCAGGGCTTGATGAAACCTGAAGGATGAGGGTAATCGAGCTGAGTTTGCTTAGATTCATCCTCTCCTCAGATTCCTGCTCTGTTCCTTTCTGCTGAACACCTTTTTCTCCTCCCTCCTTTTCTTCTCTAAGACTTACACAAGGTTCTTCAGGAGGCAGAGAGCCAAGCTGAGCTCCCTTCCCTTCCTTTCTGGAGGTAGATTCCATGTGTAATGCTTTGAAAATTTTGACCAGTTCAGTTGAAACCACCCTGGCTGTTTCCTCTCAGCACACTCCAGGCTGCCACGGGGGAGGGACCTCTCCTGGTTTTCCCAGGATCCTCTCCTGGGATGGGGCCAAAGTGTCCTTAGCCTTGAGCTGGGTTTGTGGGGCTGAGCCCTGAGCTCTACCACGGTGCCGTGGGTTTGTGGCCTTGGATCATATTTTATCCAGCTCAGGTCTCTCCTGGAAGGGGGATAACTGAGTCAGTAACTCAGCCCAGTGACCTTTGAATGGAACTGGAGCACAGAGATGTCAGGGAGGGCAATTAGCAAATCAAGAGGCAAACTGTGCAGAGCTATAAATATTATAATTGAGTGGTGCCTGCTGCTCCCAGGCACTTTCCTAAATGCCCACAATAGGCTGTAAATTGCTATAAATAAACTGGCTGGGAAATAAAATCCATTTTTTTGCTGGAGTTAATTCCATTTGTGATTTTACTCTTGTAATATTTTTTTTATTTTTTTTTTTTTCAGTCTTGTGGGAATATTTACAAAGGCCTTTCCCAGACAGGAGCTTGGGGCTGTTTTGATGAATTTAACAGGATCTCAGTTGAGGTCCTTTCAGTGGTTGCTGTACAGGTAAGTGAATAAATACAGATGAGGCAGAGCTGTGCTGCAGCCTTTGGCATGAGGGTAAATATGGGAAGTGCCTGTTGCCAGTCTCAGTTTGTGAGGGCAGCTGAGGGATATATCCCAAGATTAATCATGTGAATATCACAGGGTGGACAAAATGCAGCAGTGATGTGCTGGAAGCATTTTTGTAATTTCTTTTCCTCTGGTCACAGCCCTTGTGTGGAGACAATTCTTTACAGTTTTTTCTCCCAGATCAGCACCCACCATGTCTCTACCTGCTCCTCCTGAGCAAGACACTCGTGGCATTGATACATCTCAGTGTATCACTGCAGGGAGGAGAGCTGCCCTGACTGATGGCTGCTGCAAATGCTGCCTGGAACCATTTCCTTGGAGGGGAGGATGGTGTCTGGGGCAGAGCCATGTGCTGCTGGACTTTTGGGGGTTACTTATTGCCTGCAGTCAGGCACAGGCTGTGGGCCATGGTCAACAAACAGGAATACACTCAAGAGTAATTTCCTTAATGCTTACTTTTCCCCAGGGCTGTGCAACTTCCTTCCTTCCCTCCTTCCTTCCCTTCTTCCTTCCTTCCTCCCTCCCTCCATTCCTCCCTTCCTCCCTCCCTCCCCTTCCTCTCACTGGCTGATGGGGAAATCTGGGAATGCTTTTCAGAGGGGAAAGAACTATGGGAGGAGATTCCCCTGCCCAGGAAATGAGGAGGGAGCACCAAGGAAAGCCTCGTGGGTGTGAGTTGCTCCTGGCAGGGGCTGAAATCTGGGCAGCCCAGGTATGACCACAGGGCAGCAGGATGAGAGCAGGCCCTGCTGCAGCTTCTAGCCCATGTTTTGAAGGAGAGCTCGATCTGGGATTTGTCCAGATCCCAAATTTCTTGGGAATCTGCTGAAAATGCCCAGTAAATCAGCTGCCAGAGGAGTTGGAATGGCAACTTCACTGTCCGACCCAGACAGCTCCCACGTAGGCAGAACTGAAAGTTTTGAGCCTTGGGGGACTTCAGTGCTGAAAATTGAGGTGTGAAGTATCCAAGTTCTTTTGGACCCAAGTGTCAGCTGAGTGCAGGTTTTGGGTTATGAATTTTTCCTAGACCCCATCTCATTGCAGAGAGAAAGATCTAGAGCCCAGAAGTTTTTACACTTCTGTAAGTGTTTTGGTCAAAGAAGTTGTTCTGAACCCCTCCATGAACTCCACACTCCTCTCATCTCTTTCATCACTGTACCCCATGTGACGTCCCAAAGAAGTCCCCAGCGGGTACATGAGTTTCTGTGTCATTCCCTCTCCATTTCCCTTCCATCGGGTTCTAGTTTAAAGTTGTCATTGAAAAACGTCTTTGAGGATCTTAAAATAAAAAGAGATGCTGAACAAAAGAAGCCCAGAAATGACTCAACTGCTAATGATGCCCTGGCTCCTGGCTGGAGCTGTGTCGGAGGCACGGCTGTCATTCCATCATTCCTCTCCTGCCTGCTCTTGTGAGGGTAACCATGGAGATGGTTAATTGGCTGTCTTAGTCATGCAGCTTAATGTCCATGTTTGGGCCTTACAGAGAGACTCCATTAATTGCTTAACTGTAAGATGGCAAACACAAGTGAGGTGAGAGCAGTGAACAGAAAGAGTCCTCCCTCACTCAAGTGCTGTTTGCAAGGGGGTGATCTGGCTGTGATGGACTCAGTCCTGTTGGAAGGTGGGGAATGAGGTGATCTGGCTGTGATGGACTCGTTCCCATTGGGATGGAAGGTGAGGAATGAGATGGTCTGGCTGTAGTGAATTTGCTCCCTTGGAAAGTGGGGAGTGAGAGGAACAAAGCTACCATCAGGCAAATAGAACAGACCAGCCAATGTTAGTGAGTGAAGGTGGCAGGGGAGGTCTTTGAGCTTCTGCTTTATGGGTTTGGTTTTAAGTTAGGCATCTGATGTCCCAAAACCTTTAAATGCAATATCAAGTGATCTGTTTGCAATTGAGCTGAGGCCAAGTTTTGTGGGAAATGCAGCTCCTTTTCTGGGCCTGCTCAAGGAACAGAGCAGGCATGGGAGGGTTGGACTGTCATGAGGAGCAGTGTGGGGAGGGGTGTGGGTGGGTGAGGGAATCAGGGACTGTGTTGTGTGAGACTCCTGGGGTGGCATTTGGAGTTGGCTGTGCTCTGGGTGCCTGCACAGCCCTGCATCTCCTCTCCTGCTCTGGCCTCCTGCTGCATTGGGAGGTTGGAAGAGCTGGTTTATCCTTTGGTGGTGTTTTTGCTGTGAGATGTGCTGATGGAGATGATGGTGATGGGAGACTGATACTGCCACACAAATTTGCTCTGAACAGTGTATAAAGCTTTATTTGGTCAGTAAAAAAACAAACCAGAGCACTGATAATCCCCAGTTTTCATGGGCCAAGTGTGGGGACAACAGTCTGGGGGGGTTTCATAACTGAACAGCAGCTCTAAGCACTGCCTTGGTTCCCAGGTGAAGAGTGTGCAGGATGCCATACGGGAGAAGAAGAAATCCTTCAATTTTCTTGGAGAAGACATTAACTTGGTCCCCTCAGTAGGCATTTTCATCACCATGAACCCTGGTTATGCAGGACGAACTGAATTACCTGAGAATTTGAAAGCTCTATTCAGGTGAGTCGAGGTCAAGTTTGTTACCTGTGTTATAAGAGCAGCAGAAATTATCCTTTGGAACATCCAGGTTTGGCTTTGTTTTCTTGGGACATTGACTTGCATTGGGGATTCACAGGTAGTTTCAGCCTTGTGCACCAAGCCTGGCTCTGGGAACACACAGGGAGGGCAAAGGAGCTCTGTGCCTGGGGAAGGCAGTGTGTGACCTGCCTCTCTGGAGGAGACATGGAAGATAAAGCTCCAGACCCACTGCCCCTAAGATGTTGTCAGTACTTGCTGTGCAGTCTCTTGTTGCTGTCTCCCCAGGCCCTGTGCCATGGTTGTGCCAGACTTTGAGCTGATCTGTGAGATCATGTTGGTGGCCGAGGGGTTCATCGAGGCCCGGGCGTTGGCCAGGAAGTTCATCACTCTCTACCAGCTCTGCAAAGAGCTCCTGTCCAAGCAGGTGAGCCCACTGCTGTGCCTGTGCATTCCCAAAATCAGGAATGTGGCACCCTGCCACACACCTCCATGACTGAGGCTTCACAGCTTCGATTTACTGACTGCGTTGGTGGCAGCTGCTGGGAGAAGGGAAGGTGTGTGACCATCAGAGCATCAGGCTGCTCTCCTGGAGGAACTGCAGGGACAAAAGCACTTGAACAACTGCATTAATGGGAGAGATTTCTCAAAGGGCCCAAATGGCACCAGAGTTGGGGTGGTATTCAGTGCTTTGCAGGCTCTTGGCTCCTATTGATTTTCCTTCTGCCAGGGGTTAATGGTGACTGTCCCTCTCTGAGTCCAACCTAACACTTCCCTGTCATGTCAGGTATTGATAACAGGGTCACTTGCAGTGCAAAACTCTCGTTAATCAGATTTTTCCTTGCATGGATCAAATCTGGGTCCAGTAATGAGTTGAATCAGGACTCCAGATGGAAAACCTGATCTGGGCTGGACCAGCATGAGATTTGGTGGGGGCTGCCTTGTCACAGAAACTTTGTGCTGTGCTCTGGATGGGAGCCATGGCCTCCTACACAAAGCTTTCAGCTGTCAGGCTGGGCTCTGCAGGTCATTACAGAGCAGAAATAAAAAGGGTTGCTTGTTGGCCTGAGCTCTTCTCAGGCCTCTTTGTGATTCTTTTTGAGCAATATCTGCTTGGTGGACTTTCCCTAGGACCAAACGTGCCTCATAGCCTCACAGTGATGGGCAGGATGGAGAACCTTGGGTATCTGGGGCCTCAGAATGGACTAACAAGCCCTTCAGCCCAGTAGCTCCTGCTGATCCAGGGCTTGGGCTGGCCTTGCCTCAGCTGCATAAAGGCCAAACAAACTGCTTTGTGATTTAGGGGGAAAAAATTGCTTAGGTCTCTGGAGTGCAAATCCTACTGCTGACTTAGTGCCAGCTCTGAGCCCGTGGCATGGCATGAACAGCTGAATTATACGACTCTGTAATACTTTCCATGATGGGAAGCTCACCTGCTTAAATGGAGATCAGGTAACTCAAAGTGGTGGAGGTCTCTGCTCACAACACAGATAACCCTGAGATGAGCTCAGCTGGTTAGAGCCTGGTGCTAATAATGCCAAGGGTGTGGGTTCAATCCCTGGGGGGACCATTCAGTGAAGAGTTGGACTTGAAGATCCTTGTGGGTCTCTTCCAACTCGGAATATTCTGTGATTGCGTGTTTGACTTTCAGTGTTTCTGTTGCTGAGTGGTCTGACAGCTGGGAGCTGAGATCCTCCCCTGCATGGTGGTCATAAACTCTTGTTAACTGATGTCTCCCTTCCCCCTGCAGGATCACTATGACTGGGGGCTCCGTGCCATCAAGTCCGTGCTGGTTGTCGCTGGGTCCCTCAAACGCGCCGACCCCGAGCGCCCCGAGGAGCAGGTTCTGATGCGCTCCCTGCGCGACTTCAACATCCCCAAGATCGTGACAGATGATGTGCCCGTGTTCATGGGGCTCATTGGGGATCTGTTCCCCGCCCTGGGTGTGCCTCGGAAGCGTGACCTGGATTTTGAGGCGCTGGTGAGACAGGCTGTGCTGGAGCTGCGGCTGCAGCCGGAGGACAACTTTGTGCTCAAAGTGAGACCAAGTGATATTCTCTGCCTACACCAGCATCACATCACTTGGGTTTTCTCAACACTTTTTGCTTCTACAAACAGGGCTCTGCACAGTCACAGAATCCCAGAATGGTTTGGGTTGGAAGGGATCTTAAAGATCATCCAGTTCCACCCCTGTGCCATGGGCAGGGACACCTTCCACTAGCCCAGGTTGCTCCAAGCCCTGTCCAACCTGGCCTTGGACACTTACAGGGTTGGAGCAGCCACAATATTCCTCTTGCAGACAGACCCTGATGGAGGACAGTCAGCTGTGGTGGGTCTGATGCAGTTGCAGCTGCCCCTGAAACCAGCACTGCCTCGTCCCTGAGTTGGCCAAGGAACTGACTCTTGAAGGCTCACGCACATGTGGGCCCTGGAGAGTAGAGGCTCCTCAGCTGATGGCTGTCAGATGGTATTTCCAGGAGGTTTTTCTGCCCACCTATCATGGTTAGAGTGCCCAGAGCAAAACAAACTCCGTATCAAGTCCATTTGTGTCTGTGGGTCACAGCTTTCTGAAGGAGAGGCCCAAGGAGAGCTCATTTCATAGAATCACAGAAGCACAGAATATTTTAGGTTGGAAGGGACCTTCAAGGGTATCTCATTCCAATCCCCTGCCATGGGCAGGGACACCTTCCACTAGACCAGGTTTTGTAGGTCTGAACTTCAGTTTGGCACCTTTGCCTAAGCTGTGGGAGTGTTTTCCCAGGTGGTGCAGCTGGAGGAGCTGCTGACGGTCCGACACTCCGTGTTCGTGGTGGGAAATGCGGGCACAGGCAAGTCCCAGGTGATGAGATCCCTGCACAGGACCCACCAGATAATGAAGAGACGTCCTGTGTGGACAGACCTCAACCCCAAGGCAGTCACCAGTGATGAGCTTTTTGGCATCATTAATCCAGCAACAAGAGAGTGGAAGGATGGTAAATGTCTTCTCATGCTGAATCTGCAGATAAAAGGGATGTTTTTAATGGATCTCTTGAGTGGCAGCCCAGGGGCGTGTGTGCTGCTCCAGCCATGTGAGGGGCTGCTGTTGAAAGGACATGTAGGGTGTTTTAGGGTTTTGATTATCAAATGGGAATTTATTCTTTTGCTATAAAGATAATTATCCTGTCCATTAACACCAACACTTCCCAATTCCTAGCTGGGGCAGGTTGGGGCTGGGCTGGTGATGGAAGAGAGTTCCCTCCTGCCCTATGGTGTGCACTGTGGTCCCCCAGAATGTGCCATCCCCAGGTTTCCATACCTGACCACACTCACAGCAGCCTTTGAGTGGTGTTTTTCCACCAACTCTCACTGTCTGATCTCCAGCACACAGACAATGGTGCTTGCCAGGCTGTGGATCCTGATTGCTCCTGAGGAGGACAGCTTGAGCATTTAAAACCTGCTGAAAGATTACAGAGATCTGGAGTGAAAACGTTGGGCTGTGACTAATCTGGAAAGGCAGCTTTGATCCCGAGTGTGGCTGGACTGGGAGGTGGCAGGGGGAGGGGTGGGAGGATGTCACCATAAATCATCCTAAGCCAGAGCTGTGCTAGAAGATGAGCTACCCCCACCTCCCCTGGTCCTGCCACAGCCTCTCCTGCCCCCTGCTTTCCTCCAGTGCCAGGGGTCATTTCGATTTAGTTGTCATTGGGGACCCTAAAGCAAAGTGACAGAGGGAGGTGTGGGATACAGAGCCCTGCAGAAGGGCTGCAGTGGGGAATGAGGGTCAGGGACTGTCACTGGACAGCAGGAGGGACATTGGCAGGTGGATGCCCAGTGGTCTCAAGGCTCTGGTGTTTTAAGAGAACTCACAGGACTCCTCCCTGAGGGCTCAAGGCACATACTGTCTGCATTAACCATTTCTGAAAATTTTGTTTCCTGATGTCAGAGACCAGCCAGGCCATTTTCACCACAGCCTGACAAGAGGATGTGTTCCCTTACGAATCAGCTCCTCCTTTTCCTCTTCCCTGGTTCATTCTGTCACTCTTTTCGTTGCCAGAAGTTGGAGAGTTTGTACATGGAAGGTGGGAAAAGGTCTCACAAGGGAATCCTAAAAGTGTTTTTTGTAGAACCAAACTCTCCCTTTAAATGCCAAGGCCACTCTGTGGTGTGGAGGCACAAGGCTGGGAGAGGGCACTTCCCTCCCCACTGCTGTGCTGGTGTCCGTGAGGGAAGCGCTGATGCTCTGAGACAGGAGCTGTTCTGACACTGATGGGGTTGGAGTGTTTGCCAAGACGTGTCCAACGTGAGGAATGGAGTCGAGGCAGAGCCAGGGAAGTGTTACTTTTTGACCTGCTCTCAGAGTCAGGTGCCTGTGTCTGCTGAGCTGTTCTGCATCTGTTATACACAAGCTTTGTCTCAGTCATAGAACACCACCGGCCATTCCTGACCTGGATCACAAGGGAATAGCTTGTCCTGGAGGAAAAAAAAGAGAGTGCTTGTCACAATTCACCATCAGAGAAGCTTTTTTTAGTGTTTGCCTGCTATTCCTTCATGCAGCCCAGCCTTTCCCCAGGTATTTCCTCATGTGGAGGACAGCGCTGGTTTTGTGGAGCTCTCATTTGCCCTGCAGTGCTGCTGCTCTATTCCCAGCTTCTTGCTCTTCTTAACATTCATTATTTACTCCCCTTGAGACACTGTATCCTCTCTGTCTCCTTGATTTCACTGACATTTTGTTCTGTCACTCAATGTCAGTCTGTGCTTGTTCTCCCCTCAATCTCACTGAAGCCATGACCCAGCGTTTAATGCATCTTGATTTCCCTGATACACTTCAAACCACAAAAAAAAAAAAAACATAAAAAACATTTATTAAGAATTTCCAAGGCATATTCAGATGGTTTTCTCTGCACTGTGGAATTCATGCCTTCTTTTGTCTCTGAGTATCTGCTCTTCATTTTTCTTATCCCTTATGATTTGCAGTGGGAATGAAGCCTGTGTAGGTCTGCAGTCATTTTCTGTGATAATAACTGATAATGGCTTTTTTCTTCAAAGCAGATATCTTGATATAGTATTATTTATGTACAGATGCAAAGAGTTGTGAAAGCTTAAGAGGAAGGCATAATTTTTATTAAGTTGTTAGAAAAACTGTTAAAGGAAGTGACAACTTCAGTGTTCATCAACATATTCCTGTCACCTTCCCAGGACTGTTCTCATCAATCATGCGAGAGCTGGCCAACCTCACACATGATGGTCCCAAGTGGATAGTACTGGATGGAGATATTGATCCAATGTGGATTGAATCTCTTAATACTGTGATGGATGACAATAAGGTAATGGGTACAAGGTAAAGCAGCAGGTATTCCTTGTTGGGTGTGATTCAGCCCAGGGGAAATGCAGATGCTGAAATAACACCTGCTGGAATGATGCAGTTGTGTTCCTTCAGACCGACCAAACAATATTGCATAAAGGAAATGGTGCATGAGGGAAATAGCTCAGAGTTTGTTTTCATTGGGATTTCCCTTTTCTGGAGAGTTACACTTGTGAGTAATAACAAATGTCTTGACTGTAACTTCAGGCCCTTTAAAAATAGAGTGGGGGCGTAATTCTACACCCTGAGGGAGTGCTGTGGGTTCTGGGTTGAGAGAGAAGGGTCATTCTACTGCCTGTTAGAAATCATGCCATAGACTCACAGAATGGTCTGAGCTGCAGGAAATCTTAAAGCTCATCTCACTCCACCCCCTGCCATGGGCAGGGACACCTTCCACTAGCCCAGGTTCCTCCAAGCCCCATCCAACCTGGCCTTGGACACTTCCAGGGATGGGGCAGCCACAGCTTCTCTGGGCGATCTGTGCCAGGGCCTCCCCACCCTCCCAGGGAAGAGTCTCTTCCTAATATCCAATGGAAACCTACTCTTTGAGTTTGAAGCTGTTCTCTCTTGTTCTGTCACTCTAGATCCTTGTCTGAAGTCCCTCTCCAGCTCTCCTGGAGCCCCTTCAGGTGCTGTAAGGCCACAATTAGGTCAGCTCAGAGCCTTCTCCAGGCTGAACAACCCCAATTCTCTCAGCCTTTCCCCACAGCAGAGGTACAGCCCTTGGAGCAAATTGGTGCCTGCTCTGGACTTGCTCCAACAGCTCCATGTCCCTCCTGTGCTGGGCCCCCAGGGCTGGAGGCAGCTCTGCAGATGGGGTGTCACCAGAGCAGAGCAGAGCAGAGCAGAGGGGCAGAATCTCCTCCCTTGACGTGGTAGACACAGTGCTGGGATTGCAGCCCTTTGCCAGACAGCTCCTCGGGAAGCTGGGCTGAGCAGCCAAGTGCTGAATGCTCTTCATTGCTGCTCCTGGGGGAGCTTCAGGCTGTCTGGCTGTCTGTCTGTCTGTGCCACATGCAGGTGCTGACCCTGGCCAGCAATGAGAGGATCCCTCTGAAGCCGACGATGAGGTTGCTCTTTGAGATCAGCCACCTGCGCACGGCCACCCCGGCCACCGTGTCCAGGGCGGGTGAGTCTTGGCGTGAGTCCCACCTGGGATTCTGCACGGAGCAGGCACATCTAGTGCTGTTAGTCAGCCTTTTGTTGGCCAGCTTGGTCCCTCCTGAAAGCTGCCAGCCTGGGAGCACAGCTGCCCTTGGTGTGCAGGGTCGGTTCCTGAAGCACACGGACAAACCGAGGATCCTGACCCTGCATCCACGTGGGGACCTGTCCCCCTGCTGGGAGTGTCCCCAGAGTGCCCTGACTGCTGGTCTGTGACCATGGCTCCAGCACTGCTGAGACAGCGCTCCTGCACAGCTCTGATGGATGAGGAGAGGGCCAGTCTCTATCCCAAAATGCTCCTGATCTTTGGAAAAGTACATGGGAGAAGGGAATGAAGGTGTCCCCTCATGCCTGGGGCCCAGAGCAATAACCAGACTCAGACAAGATCGTGTTCAAAATTTGGGGCAGAGTCATGAAAAGTGTCCTGGTTTCCTGAGTTCTGTCTCTTCACTCCTAATGTTTCTTCCTGCAGTGGGGTAGAGGAGGGAGCTGGTAATGGGGCACCAGGTGTGTTTGGCAGGGTTTTAGTTGTGTGAAAGTAGTTCAGAAATTCTGCTGGGAAATTGTGGTCTCTGCTGTGTCCTCATTGTATATTCCCTCTTCCCCTGGGCCTGCAGGGATCCTGTACATCAACCCCTCGGACCTGGGCTGGAATCCCCCGGTGAGCAGCTGGATTGACGGGCGAGAGATCGAGTCTGAGAGAGCCAACCTGACCATCCTGTTTGACAAGTACCTGCCAGTCTGCCTGGACACCCTCAGGACCAGGTACCACCTGGAGCAGGGGCTCACTCAGCGCTCTCCAGCCCAGCTGCACTGGGGTTGTGCTCTGTGTAAGGTGTGCCCAGTGTTCCTGTCCCCAGAGCCCTGAGTGTCATTGGTTTCAGCTCAGGGTGATATTCCTCATCAGGGGGCAGCTGACACTCCTGCCCATCTGGGCACATCTGTTCCTCACTGGATAGTGACTTGATTGTTCCTGTACTTGTATTGATTTTGTATCTCCTGGAAAGTTGATCCAGGAGGTCCTAAAGAGGAAGTCTTTCCAGTCTCCTGCTGTGTCAGCCCAGACCTGAGTTCACAAGTTATTTTTTCAGCAGAGCAGATTTAGACCACTGCTGAAGGGAAGTTTTCCATGTGCAGGGTGGAAGATGGAGAGAGCAGATCCTCTTTTATCCTCTATCCACTTCTTTTCCTGCCCCTTGGAGATGAGAAGGAAGCTGGTGTTTGTGGAAGAGGGTGGATTGCTGTCCAGGCAGTCCTCTCTTGAATTTCTTTCCTAATACATTTGAACAGAATCAAGTCAGTCTGTGTGAGCATCCAGCTGGTCATGTTTCCTTGCTGGACACCAGACTGATGAACATGAAGATCTTGGATATTTGAAAGGGTCCTGGTGCTCCTTGGCTTAAGTTGCTCTCAAAATGGTGCCCACAGAGAAGTTGGGCAAGACCACAGTTCTTGCTTATCATGATGGGACACAGCTCTCTGACCCACAGAGTGGTGAGGACTGGCCAAGGGAAAGATCCAAAGACCCCGAGGGAGGGAGCTGGTACTTGGAGGGAACCTGTGAGAGAGCTGGGAACAAACCTTTTAGCAGGGCCTGTTGCAATAGGACAAGGAGTGATGGCTTTAAACTGAAAGAAAGGATATTTAGATTAGGTATTAGGAAGAAATTCTTGGCTGTGAGGGTGATGAGGTCCTGGCACAGGTTGCCCAGAGAAGCTGTGGCTGCCCCATCCATGGAAGTGTCCAAGGCCAGGTTGGATGAGGTTTGGAGCAACCCAGGCCAGTGGAAGGTGTCCCTGCCCATGGTAGAGGGGTGAATTAGATAACCTTTAAAAGGTCCCTTCCAACCCAATGCAGTCTATGATTGTATGATTCTTCCATCTTCTGCTTGTTCCCCATAGTCACACTTGCATTAAAAAAAAATATATAAAAAAAGAAGAAAAGTCAATGTGCAATTCAGTTGTCAGTCCCAATGGGGAGGAGCCAGGGGGAGCTGCCTTAGTGCAGGCAGTGCTCCTTAGGAGTGGGAGTTGGCAATCTTGCTAGGGAGCTGTTCTCTGGGTGCCAAGCTCGGCAGCAAAGTCCATCTCACACCTCCCCCCCTCTTTGCTGAGCGTTGTGTCAGCCCGTGAAATGCCAGGATTAGCTGCAGCAGCCCTGAGCAGAGTATTTTGGTAGCTTGCTTAATTCAGAAATTGTAGAACCAACCTTTCAAATAGCTGTAATTACTTTATGGAGGACTTCAGTGCTGCTACAGTATTAGTTTGGAATTCTCTAAGTGTAGCTTAAATGAATGTAAAATGGCAAGATGAAAGGTTTGGTTTTATTACTCCTCTATGTGACCGCCTTTCAACTCCTCGTGTTCCCAGGAAATCATTGCCTTCAGCAACTCTTCCATTTTACTTCTTTCAAGAGGATCAAAGTTTTAAAATGCTTGAAACTTCTGATTGCTGTTATTATGTGTATGTGCCAGAGAGCCCAGGGAAGGGATGGGTGTTCTCCTTAGTGCTGTTCCAGGGAATGAGGCAAGGAAAAGGGAACGACACACACACTGCTGACAAGGGAAATGCTGATCTGACAAGGCATTCCTGCCTTGCCTTCCTGGGCTGGAGCAATCCTGGTGCTTCACCCAATTATATTCCCCATGCTTTCAATTTTCATCCCTTAGATTTAAGAAGATTGTTCCCATTCCTGAGCAGAGCATGGTTCAGACGCTCTGTTACCTCCTGGAATGCCTCCTGACCGAGGAGAACACACCTTCTGACTGTCCCAAGGAGCTCTATGAGCTTTACTTTGTCTTTGCTGCCGTCTGGGCCTTTGGTGGATCCATGTTTCAGGACCAGGTAAGAAGGGAGGTGCCACATCAGCATCTTTCCCACAGATCTTTCTTTTCTTTTTTAATTTTTTTCCTACCTTCCCAGACCCAGTGCTGTGTCAGTGATGCTGTTTGACCCAGAAACCTCAACTGAACAATCCCTTTTAATAAAAGCCTTGTTATCCAGGGGGTAACACCAGAGAATGGCTGAGGGGTCATGGGATGGAGGTGGGGGCATGTTTGTTTATGAAGAAACATTTCACTGGGGAGAAACACCAGGTTAATTTATAGAGGTGTGTGGATGTTCATAATGTGATCAAATTAAGATGGACTGATCAGATGAATCCATCAGTGGAGCCTTATCCAGCCACCTGACTGTGCAGGTAAATGTGCAGGTATAGCACAAACCAATTCTGACTGTTATTAGGTGGATGTGGAGAGTTGGCTGCCCTCAGTTTCTGGTAGAATTACACAACAAAGAGGTGGTCAGCAGGGCAGGGCAGGGCAGGGCAGGATGGGCTTTGTGCTACCCCTGAAGTGGAACAGCCTTGGCTGAGTGTGCTGGTGAGGCTGAGGTGGGTGCTTGGAGCTCTCAGGTTGACCTCCCCTCTGGGTGAGCAGCTATTGGGGGTCTCTGCAGTGAGGAGCTGGGCTTAGTTGGGGTGTTGGTGGATGGATGCCCACAGCCTAGGAGGGCACAATCCAGATACAAAAGAGTGCCACAATCCAGAGACCAAGCTCCTCTTGGGCTCTGAGGCTTAATCAGCCTGTGGCTTCTTAACGGTGCCTCTGACGTTCAAAGCACTCTCTTGTCCATGGGGCAGAGGGACACAGGGCCCTCCTGTCCTTGCTGCTTCCCACAGCACATCCATCCCATGGATTGATCGCAGCTGTCAGCCTAGAATCCATCTGTCCTCATTAGAGGAGGTGGGTGTGATCTCTGCCAGGGGGGTGTCTGGAGGCAGCACTGGATACTGCACATTTCCAGCCATCTCCCAGGTCCTGGTCCTTAAAACATGGGAGAAGCACAGGCGATCCCAGCTGCCTTGTGGAAGCTGGAGTACATGAACAACAGAGATCTTGGGAAAGATCTAGACTTGCCTGGAGGAGGCAGGGTTGTTTTGCTGCCTCTGTCTCTGCGCCCATGCCTTGTGAGCAGGAGAGGAGAAATGGGCGTTTCCTTTCACCCCAGTGTCCCATTCTGCCTTGTTTCCTGGCCACGTGGCTCGGCTGGACACAGCAGGGCTGTCTCTTGACTTCTAAGCAATTGGAAAAGCTGCTGCTGTTTTATAACTTCCAGCTGCTAGCAGTGATACCAGGCAAGAGGTCAGTGGGCTCTGTGCATGTCTGTGCTTGCAGGATGCCTTCCCAACCTCCCTTGGCATTGCTGTTTCCACACTGATGGCTGGGAAAGCTGGAGATTTGTCATGTTATTGGTTCAAGGCAGGCAGGAGAAACCTGAAGCACTTGTAGAGGGATCTAAGAGCACGTGTGGTATGTGAAGACCTAGATTTGGAGTCCCAGGCTTTCAGCGGGTGGCACAGGGAGCAGTGGGAGTGCCTGCAAAACCTGCCGCTGGAGGCACATTTGGCATCAGCTGGAGCTGCTCAGTCTGGCCTTGCCTGGCCCCTGCTGGGACCTGCTGGGTGGTCACATCTCCTGGTCAGGGGATAAAGTCTGTTGTCCTGCCTGTGGGTCTGCCCAGTGACAGGACGCTGCTGTCAAGGGCTCTGAGAGCTAAACCTGGTGTCTGGTAGGCTCTGTGTTGTCTGGAATATGTGGAGGTCTCTCCGTGAACCTGACAGCAGACATGTTCCCCCTGCTGTTCTCAGGGGCTGCTCAGGTGCTCACTGGGGTCCCAGTGTGTTTTGTCTGTGTTCCTCAGTGCTAAACCAACATCTGCTGGACTCCTTGTGTTTGCTCCCAGCCAAGGAGCAGATATTTCAGGGAGGGATAAACACTGGTCACGCTCAGCATGGTGCCATCACACCTCGGGGCCATGGAATGACCTGTATGAGTCCACTTTTCTTAGGTCCTTTGGAGGATTTACTCCTCCAGTCCCTGAGTGCCAACTGGGAAAAACTCACCCTGTACAAGCTGCTGTCTCCTCAGGGGAGCTGCCGGCTCCTAGGGTGGGTTCCCTGGAGCGTGGGGGGGTGGCACATGGACACAGCGTTCCCACGCCGTGGCAGTGAGTGCCTGGCACGGCCGGCTGTGCCGGCTGCCCTGGAGCCGGGTGTGTGGCACAGGAGCTGTGCTGGCTGCCCCGGAGCAGGGCCGTGGCACAGCCGGGTGTGTGGCACAGCCGGGTGCGTGGCACAGGAGCTGCCTGCAGGCACAGCATCCCGCGGGGAGGATGCCGGGCTGGGAGGCTGGGCCGGGTGCTGCTGCACTGTGAATGTCAGCGAGGAGAGCGCAGCACCGAGGCCGGGAGAGGGGCAGCCTCCTGAAAAATGAGCCAGTGTGAAAGCTGTTCATTGCTCCCCGCCGAGGGGGGCCCTTTGTGCTGACCTTTTGCTGCTGAAATGTCAGGGCAAACAGGCTGGAAGGCTTCCTGTTGCTCTGTTTGGTGCTGGGGAGAGGGGCCCTGGATAAAAACAGATGATAGATTTGCCATTTCCAGGCTCTGAAATTAGCAGAAATCCATATGGGGTTTTTGCTAAGGAAGCGGTTTGAGCTTGACACTGTTCTGGCAGTAGAGCTGGGGCTGGAACTGCTCCACTTAAGGGCTCAGGGAGGCAGGCAGCCCATCCCACTGCTCTGCAGGCAGGGTAAGGGCAGCACTGTGAGAAAGCTTTTAGCAGTGCTGCCTGTCCCTCTCTGCTGCTCCACTGCCAGGCCGGGGGGTTGTGACAACAGGAGAATGGAGATTACAGTCAGATTGCCCCTCTGGGTAGCACAAGACTGCAAAATCCTGGATACTAATTATGTGTTTTGCAGATCCTCTGGTCTTTTGAGGGATGGTGGCTCAGGGGATTTGCAGAGGACACTCAGTTCAAATCCAGGATTGCTGATAGAGGCTGAGCAATCCATGTGTGCTGGAGGTCCCCCTGACCACCCCTGGCCTTCTGGCCCATGGTGTGGCTGTGGGGACCCACAGATGCCCCAGGAGTAACCTGTGCTGCTAAAACTGGCTCAGTTATGCATCTGGTCATTCACAGACATTTTTTTAGCAGCACTTTTCCCCTCCCTCCTCTACTTCTGCACAGGGCTGAAGATTGCATTCCCTGTGGTCCATGTGGGAAGGTGGAGTGACTGGCCCAGTGTCACAGAGGAAACTTGGGGCAGCACAATTTGCTAGTCCTGACTCAACATCTAAAGACAAAACTGTCACCCCAGCTCTTGTCAAGAATTCAGATGCTCCAAAATCTCCATGCAGAAAGATGGAATGGGAAAAAGCAGGAAAGCAGGTGTTTCTCAGGCACAGAAACAGCCACAGGAGCACGGTCCCTCTCTGGGGCTTTGGTGCACTGGTGTCTGCAGTGCTGCTGCTCCTGCTTGAAAAGAGGCCAGAAAACAACAACCAAGTGTTTGCAGAGTGGTGTGATTTATGAGGAAGGGCTTTGGTATGCATGCTCTGACTATTCCATGGCCACGGATGGAGACGGATGTGGTGTCCTTGTCTGTTGGAAGAAGTAGGCACCAAGAATCAATCAAGTGTCTGTTTAGGCATAGGCACGTATTTCTCTTTTTCAAATTGATCCATCTATCTCATCTCAGACAGACTAGGAGTGATCAACACAGAGGATGAATTATTTAGGGGAATAAATAGGAGTGATGAGAAGAAACCAAGAAAATGAAAAATTAAGCTTAATAATAGGAAAAAGGATAAGATCGTTATGTTGTGGAATATATTTTAGGGACTAATCCCACTCTGTTGGACAGGGACAGATAACATTCTCCATCACTAATGAATTTCTCTAGATTAGCATATTTTCTCCTCTCTTTGTCTTGCAGCTTGTGGACTACAGAGTGGAGTTCAGCAAGTGGTGGGTGGCAGAATTCAAGACAATCAAGTTTCCCTCTCAGGGCACAGTCTTTGACTTTTACATTGATCCAGAAACAAAGAAGTTTGAGCCTTGGTCTAAACTTATTCCCCAGTTTGAATTTGATCCAGAGATGCCATTACAGGTAGGTGACCCCAGGCTGTTGTTTGGCTGGGAGGAGAATGTGTTTTAGTGGCTGCATGTGGGGGTTTCAGGGAAGTCTGCTGGAAGGTCAGGCACTGCACACTGAGGATGGGTACAGCTAAATTACCCATCCTCTGTACTGTGCTTTGACTACCTGGAAATAGAGATGGGCTTATGTTTTGGCCAAAAAAAGGGTTCCTTAGGTGATGAAGTGTGGTTGCCAGCTGTGCTTCCCTGTCCTTCCAGAAGTGCCACTGTGAGCAGATGACTTGTAAAAACTGTCCCTGCTTTAGCAAAGTGTGTGTTCCTGGGGAGATCCAGCTGCTGCTCACAGCACCAGCTGTCAGAGTTCCACCTGCAAAAATTGATTTTAATGGCTGGCAATGGCATATCCTTCCCTTCCTACTGCAACCTGGAAACTGGGATTACCACACTCATTCCTGGCTCTCCCAGTTTTACTTTCCCCCAGGACATACTTGTACAAAGTGAGGAATGAGAGGCTGGAGAGCAGTGCCAGGAAAGGGCCCTGAGGGTTCTGGTGGGTGCCAGTTGTCCCTGAGTCAGCAGTGCCCTGGCAGCCAGGGGGGACATCCCTGTCCTGGGGGCAGCAGGGAGGGGATTGTCCCGCTCTGCTCTGCCCTGGGGCGGCCTCACCTCAATATTGGGGCAGTTTGGGGGGACACAATGGAAGGGAGAGATTGAGCCATTGGAGAGTGTCCAAAGGAGGGCAGAGAGATGGGGAAGGGCCTGGATTTGAAGCCATGTGAGGACACTGAGGGCACTTGGTGTGTTCAGCTGGAGAAGAGGAGACTGAGGGGAGACCTCCCTGCAGTTCCAACTGCCTGGGCAGGGGCAGAGGAGGGGCAGGACTGAGCTCTGCTCTGGGGGGACCAGGGACAGCCCCCAGGGAATGGCTGGAGCTGTGTCAGGGCAGGCTCAGGGTGGATCTCAGCAAAAGGTTCTTCCCCCAGAGGCTGGTTGGGCACTGAACAGGCTCCCCAGGGCAGTGGGCACAGCCCCAAGGCTGCCAGAGTTGCAGGAGGGTTTGGATGATCCTCTGGGGCACAGGGGGGGACTCTTGGGTGTGCAGGGCTGAGGGTTGGACTGGATGATCCTTGTGGGTCCCTTCCAGCTCAGCACACTCTGTGACTCTGTGACTCTGTGACATGGCTGTGGGGTGCTGGCAGGGATGGGGACAATCACCTGCTCTCTCTGCCCCCCAGGCGTGCCTGGTGCCCACCCCTGACACGGTGCGTGTGCGGTACCTCCTGGACAGGCTCCTGGAGCGCCGGCGCCCCGTGCTGCTCGTGGGCACTGCGGGCACGGGGAAGTCTGTGCTGGTGGGGGACAAACTCTCCTCTCTGGACACAGACACGTACGTGGTGAAGAAGGTCCCGTTTAACTACTACACCACCTCTGCCATGCTGCAAGGTAAGGCTCTGACTGAGTCACGGGACTCCTGGTACCCTCCCAAATTCCCGGGGCAGTCACCGGGGTTTGGAGCATGTGATCATGGGAGAGTTCAGGGGACAACCTGTGCATGGGCTGCCCATGTGGTTTGTGGACCCTGCACTAGCACCTGCAGACCCTTAAATCCCACAGTGACACTCTCTGGTCAGCAGAGCCCTGGATTTGTGGGAGATGTTGTTTTCCAACATGAGGATTTGAATCCTGAACCCCTCACATTGAGGGCTGTGCCAAACACAGGTTTCAATCTGCTACAGCTTTTATGGCTTGTGCTTGACTAGAAGTGTGTCTTTAATGTGCTGGAATTTAAGGCCATGCTGAATACGATGGGTTTCTTGGCGAGGATCCAAACTGTCCTCAGGGTGCAGTGATGGGAATTGCATCCCAATTAAGCAGTGAGGATGGTGCTAATGGATAAGTGCAGGCTGTAAGCCAGGGCTGGCTCCTGGGGCTGTCCTCCCATCCTGCTGCAGCCTAACAGAGCAGGTCTCACATCACCCCCTCCCCAGGGGCACAAGGCTTGCTGACTGGGGGGATCCAGAGCCCCAGGGAATGTCCTTAAGGATATCTCTGACGGGGATTTTGGCAAATCAGTGAAATATTAAGTTTGACCCCAAGATAAGGTCATTTTACTGTGCAGTCTCTTCAGAGAAAGGATGTAGTTCTGGAAAAGTGGCTCATTTTGGAATGGTGTCCAAAGAGAGGTAAATAATTTTACATGTATTTATTAACCAGTAATGAGGCAACCTGGTTTGTTTTGAGTTGAACAACAGCTGTGAGTCACTGTATACCAATCTGCTTCCTCTATTCAGCTTGGTTTGACCCAAAAATCCTGAAATCCTTCTACTTCCCCAGAGAAGCTGTGGCTGCCCCATCCCTGGAAGTGTCCAAGGCCAGGTTGGACAGGGCTTGGAGCAACCTGGGCTGATGGGAGGTGTCCCTGCCCATGGCAGGGGGTTGGAGTGAGATGAACTGTAAGATCCCTTCCAACCCAAACCATTCTGTGATTCCATGATGGCTGGTGAAGCACCAGGGAGACCAAGGATTAACCTTCCCTGTTTGGTTGTTCCTGGTTGAGGGTGCCAGGTGGGGACACCTCCCAGCCAGGGTCAAAGCTGAAGGCAGGAGTGTCCTGGGCTTTGTCCCTGCTCTGCCAGGCTCCCAACACTGCAAAGTTGTTAATAAAGGTTTTATAGAGAGGTGACAGCACAGGCCCAGCTCTGTGAGCTGGGACCATGTTACAGTCCCAGAACACTCTGAGTTGGAAGGGACCCACAAGGATCAAGTCCAGCTCCTGAGTGGCCCATACAGGGATCAGACGTGACCTTGGTGTTATTGGCACCATGCTCTGACCAACTGAGTGTTGTGGGGCCACATCTGCTTCCTGGGGTGGGCTGGGAGGATTTCTGGGCTTGCTGGAGCCTCCTGCCTGAGCTCATCACCCCACAGGGCAGTGCCTGTGCCTCTGCACACAGTGAGAAGGCAAATCATGTGGGTTACTTGTCCTTCAGGCCAAAAAATGAGTAAAGCCTTCCCTTTTGGCCAGTCTCGCAGCCCTGAGGGGTGTGATGGTTATCACAGATAACCTCAGGCCCTGCCTAAGAGCATCATCCAAACCCTCCTGCAGCTCTGGCAGCCTTGGGGCTGTGCCCACTGCCCTGGGGAGCCTGTTCAGTGCCCAACCAGCCTCTGGGTTACAGCTCCCCCTTCCTCCCAGCCTGGGGTCTCTGGGAAATGCCCTTGGGTTGGTGAGTGGGCTGAGCTGCCTGGGGCACCTGAGCTGTGGATGCCCACCTGGCCAGGTGGGTGTGCAGGTGAGGGGCTGATACAAGCAGAGCTGGCCAGGTGTCCCTGTTTGCTCTGAGCTCTGGGCTGAGCCTGTGACTTCCTTCCTCTGCAGAGCACAGCACATCTTCATAGCAGGGATGAAGATGTGGCTGGGACATCTGCTCTGGGAAGTGTGATTTATACAGCTTGGCCTCATTTTTCAGAGTTAATTTTCCCCCTTTTTTTTTGGAGTTGGCTGCTTTTTTTGTCTCTCCAGCAGGTGCCTCTTTAGATTTGTAAAATGTGCATACAAAGCAGTTTGGGATTTTTATTTTTATTTATTTTAAAGAGAGCCTGAAAGCCAGGAATTCTTAGACAAGGTGCCTGTTGGGACAGAGATTTTTAAGGTGCAGAGCTACATCCTTCAGGGGGAGCACAGGGTTGTCATTCAAACCATAACTGCAGGCCTGTGGCTCACAGAATTTCACGTGCATATAGGTTAAAAGGAGCCAGAATCTCTCTGTGCCCAAACCTGGGACCAGTTTAGGGATTTTCTTTGCTGTATTGTGACCAAATACCACGTTCTGTGGACTCTGATCTGCTGCTCTGTGCCCTTTTTGGACCTCTGCTCCTCCTCAGTGCTCCACCAGCCCTACCCTGGTGTCATTCCACACCTTCCCACTCCAGGTCTGCCTGAAGAAAATGACAGTCAGTGTTGTTTTTTGAGGGCTGAATGTTTTTTACCCCTTTGACCATCAGCCAGCAGGCAAGAAGAGCCACACTGGCCAGGTCTGGTGTGCACTGAGTGTTCCATTCAGGGGCTCAGAGGCAGCGACAGGGACCCTCCAGGATTACTGTGGGATGTGGCTCTGAATTAAAATGCAACTTCCACAAACATGTCACTTCATCCCCAGTAATTGCATTTCACTATGATGAATCTCCTGCATCCTTGTTTAACCTCGAAAAGGGCTGATTTTATATGTTAATTAAGGCTTAATTAAATTTAAATTAAATGCTTATTTGAAACACTTAATTTGACGTGCTACCAGAAATTTCAAATATTGTGGTTTTATTGAAGGGGAAGAGAGACTGCTGAGGAAAAATCCACCATTTTTCTGAGCACAATTCATGCCTTTTTGTAGCAAGTGTCTATGGCAAGAAAACAGCTGAATTCTGAGCAGTGGGCAAGCCAGGCTGTCTGCAGGACAAAAATGGGGCATTCAAAGATTTGTGGTCTAAAAAAAAAAAACAGAATATAATTTTTTAAAAATATCTTTGACCCTTGATAAGCAATGGCTGAAGTGAACATTTGCACAAGGAGATTTTTATCGAAATTGCTAGTCATCCCTAATTACAAAGTGTTCCTTGCCATGCTGCTTAACCCCAAACTGAGCCAATGAAGCAAGTTCTGTTTCTATCCCCAGGAGGGCAGGGAGCCCCTGAGAGCTCCCTGATGTCCAAGAAAGCTGCTGGCAGGAAAATCATCCCAGGATCTGGGCAGAGGAGAGTTGCTGCTGTGTGCTTTGCCACTTACTGAGGCAGGAAAGGTTGTTTGGGCTGCAGTGAAAGGAATCAATAAGCTGTAAAACATGATGTGCAGCAGTGTGGGGTGATTTGCATTAAATATCAGCCCAGCATCATAAATCTTCCCCATATGTTATAGTCTAGAGCAACATATAACCTCAGCCTTCTGCTAAAACAAAGGAAAACCTTTCAGAGCTTCAAAATGAGAAGTTTTCCCTCTGTGGTGCCCTTTGCTTGTGGGTGACCTGACTGAGAACTGGGTGGGGATGTGACAGCTCATGTTGCAGTTGAGTCTTGTTGCATTTTCTGGAGGTTTGGGCAGTGCTGGGGAGGGGATCAGGGTTGGTACTTGGAGTTGTTCAGCCTGGAGAAGAGAAGGCTCCAGGGAGACCTTCTAGCACCTTCCAGTGTCTAAAGGGACTCCAGGAGAGCTGAAGAGGGACTTTGGAGAAGGGCATGTAATGTCCCATCCCTGGAAGTGTCCCAGGCCAGGTTGGATGAGGCTTGGAGCAACCTGTTCTAGTGGAAGGTGTCCCTGCCCATGGCAGGGGGTTAGAACTGGATGATCTTTAGGGTCCTTTCCAACCCAAACCATCCTGTGAGTCTGTGATTGTATTTGGTGCATTCAAATAAATACTATTTTGTTTGTTCTAAAGTTGTCCAGGATTTTCGCCCTAAAAACACCCATTTCCTTTGTCTAACAAACATAAAAAGTGCATTTTCATTCACAAAATCAGCTTTGCTCATGGGCTTGGTCCCCCAGCATCTCCTTGGTTCCACCCAGTCACTTCTGCCTGGGCTCAGAAGGTGACTGTGATACATCTGGGGCAGGGCAGGGGAGGGGACACATTGCCTCGGTGTTATGGATCAAAATAAATCTCAGAAAGTAGGATTGGGTTTAAGAAAATATGCAGAAGAGATTCAAAAGGCTTTATCTTGCATGAAAAGCTTTGGTTGCTCTGAAGTGAACCAGGCTCGTAGCAGAGTTTTGTTGTTGTGTTTTGTTTGCAAGGAGGAATTGAAAACTTTGTGATTTGGGTTGAGTCAGACCAAAAATCTGCCTGAGGGTCCCTGCCAGCCATAGCCTGGGGACAGCCACTGTCCTGCTGGGGAGCAGAGTGCTGTGCCAAGGCCAGCTCTCCCTCCCCAGGGAGCACTGAACAGCCCAGATGGACCCAGGGGGGTTGGGGGCTTCCCCCTGTGCCCACCCTGAGCCCTGCCTGCCCTCGCAGTGCTGGGCTCCTGCTGGAGCTGCTCACAGTGGGCTGGGCTGAGGAGCATTTCCATCTCCCTCTGCCCACACAGGTGTGCTGGAGAAGCCTCTGGACAAGAAGGCTGGCAGGACCTACGGCCCCCCCGGCACCAAGAGGCTCGTGTACTTCATCGACGACCTCAACATGCCCCAGGTGGACACGTACGGGACAGTGCAGCCCCACACCCTGCTCAGGCAGCACCTGGACTATGGACACTGGTAGGAGGCCTGGGGGGCCAAGACCTTTTCATCCAGCTCTGCTGCTGGGGATGGAGTTGGAGAGGAAGTCACAGCATGGATCCCTCTTCCCATCCCACGTTGGCCACGGTGTCTGGCTGGGCTGGGCTGGAGCTTGCTGGGAGGCTCTGGGTGAACAGGCCATTGTGCACCCTCAGGGTGACCCCTGTCCCCAGCAAACACACTCCCTGCCTGGCTGAGGGAGTTTCACTCCACTCCTGCCCGTCTGGTGACTGATCCCAGTGCAAAGCCTGCAAGGCTCAGCCTGAGCCCTGCTGTGCTGAGAGTGGGGGAAGGACATGGATTGGCCTCAGCTGGGATGAGCCACCCCTGCTGTGCGCAGCTGAGGCTGTTTTCAGTCAGGCAGCAGCAAACAGGCATTGTCCAGGCACAGGTGATTTGAAGGAAAACCACTGGCAGTGTTTTGGAAGGAGATTGGTGTGTTTGACACCTCAGCCAGCAGTGCTGTGTGGGACAGGGGTACTCCCAGCTCTCCCACAGGGAATACAGGGCAGGGACTTGGAGCAATTCCAAGTCTCCTCAGCTGTGTGTGTGCCTGACCTTGGCCGAAAGCTTCCCAAGTACAGGGACAGTGGGGAGGGGGCAGAAATTTGGGCCGGTGTGTGTTGGGGAGGTTGGGCAGAAGGAGGGATCAGGGGGTGTGTGGGAGCAGTGACATGTGGGGGACACCCTGTGCCCCCTGTCCCTCCCAGGCGCTCCCCAGCTCTCTAACCCTCTTGGCAGTGCCTCTGGGGTGTTGACCCTTGGTGGTCCCACTCACAGCCCATCAGGGTGCAGCTCACCCAGGGTGGTGAGCAAGGAGAGGGGCACAGCTCCCTCTGCCCTCGGGCTGCCCTGGCCCGGCACTGACCCTGAGCTCTGCTCTGGGGGGACCAGGGACAGCCCCCAGGGAATGGCTGGAGCTGTGTCAGGGCAGGCTCAGGGTGGAGCTCAGCCAAAGGTTCTTCCCCCAGAGGCTGGTTGGGCACTGAACAGGCTCCCCAGGGCAGTGGGCACAGCCCCAAGGCTGCCAGAGCTGCAGGAGGGTTTGGATGATCCTCTGGGGCACAGGGGGTGTCTCTTGGGGATGGGCCTGTGCAGGGCCAGGAGTTGGACTCAGAGATCCTTGTAGATCCCTCAACTCAGCATATTCCATGATTCTGTGGCTCTGTGCAGACATGCAGCAGCTCTGGGCCCTGCCCTGGTGAGGGACAGGACGTGACTCCTCTGAACGTGTCCCCTGAAGCCATGGGGACACTGGGAGCCCACAGATGAGCTCCAGGGGGTGGCAGCAATGGCTGCTCTGGTCACCATCCATGGCTTTTGCTTTGCCCAAAGGTATGACCGGAGCAGGCTGTCCCTGAAGGAGATCACCAACGTGCAGTACGTGTCCTGCATGAACCCCACTGCAGGGAGCTTCACCATCAACCCCCGGCTGCAGGTACAGCCCCACACGAAGGCACTGCCCGGGGATGAGCTTGGGGTGGATTGTTCAGGATGAGGCTCGAGGAGAAACTCTGGCAGATCCTGCTGTCATTTGATCAGTGGAAACATCCTGGGTCTGTTGAGTGGCTAACTCCTGATGGAGAGGCAGCAAACTTGCTGCCTTTTTCTCTTCTTTGTGTTTCCTCTCACTGTGCTGCTCAGTGGGAGGAAGAAGTTCCTGACCAGCCACACCCACTCTCAGGAAACCTTCTGGTTCAGACAGGCACATTCTGTCTGCATTAAGCTGACATTTACTGGGCCACAGTTCATTAAAGCTTTTTGGTGGTCAGGCATTGCAACTGGCTACCCAGGGGAATGGGGTCACCATCCCTGGAAGTGTCTAAAGATGTGGCTGGGGATTTGGGAGTTGGTCAAAATTGAACTTAAGGATCTTGGAGGTCTTTTCCAACACGAATAATTCTATAATCTCCTTGCTCTTTGCAAGTTCCAAATCAGTAAATTCTGGGAGGTGGCACCTTCCAGGGGCTGCTCCTTACCAGAGACAAGACTGGACTTCATCAGGGGTCAGTGGGACCTTCAGACCCTTCAGCTCTTCACTGGACTGAGCTTGCAGTGTAGGCACTGTGAAATGCCATTGAAAATCCCTTGTTCAGTGAGGAAAAGGTGTCACTTGTCAACTGTCCTCTGCTGGGAAATTGGAAGGGGGAGATGGTTCTGGTGGGATCACAGAGCATCCCAGGTTGGAAGAGACCTCGAAAGATCAACTGGGCCAACCTTGCCTGGGAAGTGGAGCCCAGATGAGTTTATCCAGCACAGTGTCCAACCACATCAAGTCCTCACAAGGCATTTGAGCTGGGAGGTCACTGCCCATCTCTCTGACCTTTCCGTGTCTCCCTTTCTCCTCCTCAGCGTCACTTCTGTGTCTTCGCTCTCTCCAACCCTGACCAGGATGCCTTGGCCAGGATCTACAGCACCATTTTGGTGCAGCACCTGACCAGTGGGAATTTCTCAGAGGCTGTGCAAAAATCAGCCCAGCAGCTAATTGCCCTCGCCCTGGGGCTGCACAGGAGGGTGGCTGCCACCTTCCTGCCAACAGCTGTCAAGTTCCACTACGTTTTCAATCTGAGAGACTTCTCCAATATCTTCCAAGTAAGTGCAGTCCCTCTCCACCACACAGGGACACAATTTACTGTGTGGAGCAGCTGGTGGATACTTTGTGGGCTGCTGGCCCTGAAGAGAGGAGAGCAGTGACTGGTTCAGCTGCTCTGCCAGAGCCAGGACAGCTTGGTGGCCTGTACTCTCATGTTCTCTCAAATGCTCAGCATTGTATGTGCAGGATGGCATTTAAAGAGCTGATAAATCAATCTAAACCAGCTTTAACTTAATCCTTGAAACTGAATTACCAGCCAATGTACCAAAGGGAAGTTGTTCAGCTTTAGAGATGTTTTTTTCCATCATTGGAGAGATCCTGTTTTTATGTTTTCCCCAGCAATTTCATGCATTGAAGCAGTAGGTGTTAGTGCTCAAAGAGCCTTTCAGAACTTCAGGCTGATTAATGAAATTAGAGAAATTTCTCAGCAGCCAAATCAAGGGTTTTAAACACCATAACCTGTTGTAAACCCCCAGCTGGTAATTTGTCGCTGTCCTTGTTAACATCTGTTTTACAAAGCAGGTACTGGGAGTTCAGTGCCTTGTGTCTGGTCCATCAGACAAGAGCTGAAAGAATGACAGGACATGGGAAATCCAGGAACAGGGCCATGAACAAGTTAATAACTCCACTGTGTCAGGAAGGAATCAGACCTGTCACTTGTGCTCAGCTGAACAGCAGCCCTGATGTGAGATGTGGGTCATGTTAAATCCCAACTTCCAGTTAATCTGGGCTTTGAGAGGTGCAGGGAGAGAACAGAAGCCTTTCAATGGGAAGCTTTCATCTGAACTGTTGTCTGCTTGAAAGGAGCCAAGGTTATGGGGGGTTAGAAAATGTCCTGCCAGATCCTGGGGCTGGGCCAGAGAGTAGGAGCAGTGACAGGAATTGCTCCTCATTCTCCTCTTTTTCATGGAGATGATGGGAAAAAATCAGGCTGAGGTCAGGTCCTGCCCTGCCAGAGCCACCACTGCCTGTCCCCAGTGGCACAGTGATGGGTGACAGTGACAGGGCAGGTGGGTCCTGCTGGGATGATGATCATATTCCCTGTTCTGTGCCAAACAGGCCTCATCTCCTGGGGTGTCTGTTCAGCCCCTGAGGAACTCAGTGGTGAGTCCCAGGTGGAGGCTGGTGGTTCCCAGAGCCTGCTGTGATGCCCCCACACCCCAGTGGTCACAGTGGCCCTGCTGCAGAGCCCCTGGTTATCACCAGTGGCAGATCCTGGTGGGTGCCAGTTGTCCCTGAGTCAGCAGTGCCCTGGCAGCCAGGGGGGACATCCCTGTCCTGGGGGCAGCAGGGAGGGGATTGTCCCGCTCTGCTCTGCCCTGGGGCGGCCTCACCTCAATATTGGGGCAGTTTGGGGGGACACAATGGAAGGGAGAGATTGAGCCATTGGAGAGTGTCCAAAGGAGGGCAGAGAGATGGGGAAGGGCCTGGATTTGAAGCCATGTGAGGACACTGAGGGCACTTGGTGTGTTCAGCTGGAGAAGAGGAGACTGAGGGGAGACCTCCCTGCAGTTCCAACTGCCTGGGCAGGGGCAGAGGAGGGGCAGGACTGAGCTCTGCTCTGGGGGGAGCAGGGACAGCCCCCAGGGAATGGCTGGAGCTGTGTCAGGGCAGGCTCAGGGTGGAGCTCAGCAAAAGATTCTTCCCCCAGAGGCTGGTTGGGCACTGAACAGGCTCTCCAGGGCAGTGGGCACAGCCCCAAGGCTGCCAGAGCTGCAGGAGGGTTTGGATGATCCTCTGGGGCACAGGGGGTGACTCTTGGGGATGGGCCTGTGCAGGGCCAGGAGTTGGACTGGATGATCCTTGTGGGTCCCTTTCAGCTCAGCACATTCTGTGATCTGTGGCTCTGTGATATTTGATATCATTGTCTCAAGAAGCCTCAGCACAGCAGAGAGGGCTTTGTAACCAGTTTCTGGCTGTCCTGGTGAGGAGGAAAAGCTGAGAGATTTGGCTGAAATACAACCTGAGGACTCTCCAGGCAGCAGGATAACTGGACTGACATGGCACAGGACAAGGGATTCTCCACCCTCTCTTTTATTTTGTTTTCTTTTTAATGTTGGCACCACATCCATCCCAGATGCAGTGGCCCATGGCCATGTGTCCCTCCTGCATCCCAGACCTGGATGTTATGGCTTCTCCTAGACCTCATCACCCATGGAGGACCCCATTGCTCCATGGGGAGCAGCTTGGTTGTGTTGGTGGAAGAGCTGGTCACTGCTGAGGAGTGAGGAGGGGGGGTGTTCAGTGAGTAAGTGATTTCAGATTTGGGAGGTGTGGATTTTCTTGCCCCTGTAGCCTTACATGAGCTTGCATCAAAAACACAACAGCTTTTGTAGCATGGGGGGTCTTCAGACTCAGTCCCTTTAGAGAGACTCTTGAGGGACTGAGTGATTTTTAATTTTTATTTTAACCAGTTTAGGGCTCGATGGTTTTCTCCTTCCTCCCTTTTAGTTGTCATCTCTTTCTCACTAATTTATTTTTTTTTCTGAAATAAATAGAATACTTTGTCAGCTGTAATGACAGATGTGAAACCCAAACAATCTGAGCCATGGACCAGTGAGCTGAGGGGGCCTGCTTTACATTGCTTTCAATGCATTTTACATTTAATGTACAAATAATTAGATGTTAGGAATAAAAGCTGTCTGTTTAATTCATGCCATTGAAAACCCTGTGTGCTGTTAATAGGCTTAGTATAGGCAACACCTCTTTGAAATATTATTCTTTTATGCATTTTAATAGAATTCATGGTAAACATACTGTGCTAAGCAGACAGCAACTGATATTTCCTGCAGGCAGAATGCACCTAATTAAAATTAATTGATTAAAAAAAAAATCACCACCACTATCATTTCCAAACTATTTTTCCTTCTTGACAAGGCACCCATGGTGTGGGGTCAGGATGGAAAAACTGCAGGGCTGGGTCTGGCCCTGGATGGTCCCTGTGCTGAGAGCAGGACCCCCAGCCCAGCCAGGGAGAGGTTGGGAGGGGGGTCAAAATGGGTGTAATGAATATAAATGTTCAAAAGAATGTGGGAAACAGGCACCCCCACGGTGTGGGCAGCAGGTGAGGGAGGGGATTCTCCCCCTCTCCTCTGTTTTTGTAAGACCCCTCCTGGAGCACTGTGTCCAGCTCTGGGGTATCCAGCATAGGAAGGACCTGGAGCTGTTGCATCCAGTCTGGAGGAGGCCACAAAGATGATCAGAGGGCTGGAATAACTCTGCTGAGAGAATTAGAATTGTTCAGCCTGGGGGAGAGAAGGCTCCAGGGAGACAGTGCAGCCTTCCAGTTCCCAAATGGAGAGGGACTTTGAACAAGGTTGTGCAGTGATAGAGAGAGGGGGAATGGCCTTCAGCTGAGAGACAGCAGGGTTAGATGGCATATTGGGAAGGAATTCTTCCCTGTGAGGGTGGGCAGGCCCTGGCACAGGTTGCCCAGAGAAGCTGTGGCTGCCCCATCCCTGCGAGTGTCCAAGGCCAGGTTGGATGGGGCTTGGAGCAACCTGGGCTAGTGGAAGGTGTCCCTGTCCATGGCAGGGGGTGGGACATGTCCCTTCCAACACAAACCATTCTGGGATTCCTTGATAATTGGTTTGGGAGATTTGGGGTAACAAAGGGCACATTCTCCAGGGCTGTTCACTCAGAAGCTCAGTTGCAGGTTGCTGTAAGGGTGACTCAGCCACACTCCAGCACGATGGGTGAGGTCCCTCAGGTCAAGCTTGGGTTTCCTGAGTGTCTTTGCTCTCCACAGGGCCTCCTGTTCTCTACCCCTGAATGTCTGAAGGAACCCCAGGACCTGCTGAAGCTCTACCTGCACGAGTCCAGCCGGGTGTATCGGGATAAGATGGTTGAAGCGAATGATTATGGTACCTTTGATAAAATCCAGAGGGAGATGGTGAAGAAATTCTATGATGTAAGTGTTGAGGAGTAACTCTGATGTTAACACAGGATGGGTTTATGGGAAAGGAAGTCACTATTGGAAATTTTCCTTTCTCCCTCTTTCTCTCTTGTCTCTCCTTCCCCTTTTCAGGCTGCAGTTGCAGGTGCAGCTGTGTGGCCATGAAAAGGCTGGAATGCCATGCTTCCCTTGAGAGGGGGCACAGAGCTGCACTGGGGTTTCTACACTTCATATATACATTTTTTTTCTCTCTTTTATAGGACATGGAAGAAACTTTAGAGCAGACCAAGCACATGAATATTTTTTGCCATTTTGCTAAAGGCTCTGGGGAACCTGGCTACAGGCCAGTCCCAACCTGGGAGCAGCTGAACCAGATCCTCGTGGAAGCCTTGGACAACTACAATGAAGTCAACGCTGCCATGAACCTGGTGCTGTTTGAGGATGCCATGTGCCATGTGTAAGGGGATTTTCTGCCTTTAGGGTCTTGTCATAGCATTTTGTGTGCAGATTGTTTCGTGGAGTTTCCTGGAGGATGAGGGAGGGGCTGAGGGAGCTGGGGGGGCTCAGCCTGGAGAAAAGGAGGCTCAGGGGGGACCTTCTGGTTCTGCAACTCCCAGACAGGAGAGGGGAGCCAGGGAGGGTCGGGCTCTGCTCCCAGGGAACAGGGACAGGATGAGAGGAAATGGCCTCAGGTTGTGCCAGGAGAGGTTTAGATGGGATATCAAGGAATATTTCTTCATTGAAAGAGTTGTCAAGCCCTCTCACGGGCTGCCCACGGAAGTGGTGGAGTCACCATCTCTGGAAGAGATGGTGGTGCTGGGTGGACAGCTGGTCTTGACGATCTTAAAGGTGTTTTCTAACCTTATCAATTCCATGGTTCTGTGATAATTGCAGCTGATGGAGCTGGAGGTGTGATGAAGCTTCACCTGCCCGTGTGGGGTGATGGAATCTTTGGCCCCTGATGCACAAACATTTGTCACACATGACAACCTTCAGGGGCTTTATTGTCTTCCCTTGACACCCAGCACAGAACTGGTCATACTGGGATTTCCCCAAGTGCTTTGACAGCTGGTTTAGAGCCATGTTTACACAGGTTCTTAGTGGGATTTTCCTATGAATATAAAGTAAGATTATGTGCATTCAGGCTACTACTTGGAAAGGATGGAGGCATTTAAACTGCTTTGATCCTTTGGAAAACCCACTTGCATTTAGATGCCTGGGTGTGCAGATGGATTCCTGTTGGAAATTGGACAGTGTGGGACTGTATGAAAATAACAAACCTCCTGCTGATCATTAGGAAGGTGTTTCCATGCCTGGGGTATAGTGGGGTGCACCCCCAGCTTTCAAACACAGCCTGTGGTGATCCCAGCAGAGACAGAGTCATTTCTGGGTGCTGAAATGCAGAGGTGGCCTTGGATCACTTCAGAACACGGACCTACCCTGGAAATCAGAGCTATATCTGATTTTATATGAAAACATTGGCCCAAGAGGTGCAGATCTGGGACTCTAAGCTGGAAGGAAGGCACTGTCCTACTGCACACTTGGGAGGGGAGGTCAGTTCCCACTGGGCCTGGCAGCCCAATGTAGCTGTTGTCATGCAAATTAAATATATATACATATATATATATATATGTGCTACTCCTGTTAACCAACTGCTTACCTGTGCCTGTTCCCAGAGCTCCCAACTTGTCCCTTTTTCCAGTGGCCTGGGGCACCTTTTCCCTGGCAGGCTGGGCATTATTCACTCCTCTGCATTAATGGGTCACCCTGATGTCTCTAAGCATTTCTGCTTGCATTGCTTGCAGGCAGCTCACAGGAATGTTGGCCCTGTGCTCCTCTTGCACTTTACATAAATTGGGATTTGTGACAAAACACTGCACTATCCCTCCAGTTAATTCTGGGGATAATCATGAAAGCAAGGTTTGAGTATCCAGCAGGATTTCACTGGAGGTGGGGGAGTTCCATTAATTGCATTTGGAAATTGCATCTGGCTGAAATACACAACTTCTTCCATCTCAAACTACTTCAGAATGTCAGCTTAAATTTGCTGAAGATTTTCAGTTGAGAGAAAAAAAAAGAAGAAAAAAGGAATTTTGAGGACTTTATCTATGTAGGGATGTGGGAGATACCTGTGAGTCACTCCAGAGACCATGGTGGCATCCTTGGGAAGAGCTGGCCTGGGGAATTGAGAGCAGGAATGCTGAAGCTCTCCTCACAGTCTGGATTGCTTTTAGGGTAATAATTTCACAGACATTATTAAACTGTAATTATAAAATGATAAAAAATCAGTTGGAGTCTGTGCATAGATCATAAAATACTTGAGCTGTAATAAAGCAGTGCAGTGTTTCTCACAGTCTTATTTGAAAAATAACTGTATTATAGGGAAATAGTGAAGAGAGATGAATAAAGGCAGTGCTGAATAAAGGCAGAAATAAAAGAGGGGAACAGTGCTTGAGTTTCAGACACAGAATAGTGAGGGCTCCACAAGTAAGTTCCTCTGGACCCTCCTCACGTGGGGGTGTCAGAATTTGCTTAAAGAGCATAAAAGAGAGGTAGACAAAGTTCACTGTGTGGTACTCAGACAGGACAAGTGACCAGACCCAGAATATAACAGCAAGTTCATTTTAAGAGTGAGAAAATGCCACCCTCCTTTCCTGGGGAGCTGTATCAGAGCCTTGACTTTTGTTCTCATGTTGCATGTCAATGTATTGTCCTTTCTCCCTTGCCCTCCCTGCAAAGTTATCCAGACCTTCCCTTTGACATAGTTCTGTCCAGTAGGACTTTGCAGGTGGAAAAAAATTGGGCACAGTCTGAATTGCCACCAAACTGATCTTTTTTTTTTTTTGTCAGCAATGTCCCCTTCAGGTCTGAGCAGAGCTGGGCATCGATTGCTGACACGGCTCTGAGATTGACATTTTTCATCCCGCTCAGAATACAATTTCTTAGTGAATAAAATATGTATTGAAAAGCACCAGGCAGAGAAATAGAAAAATACTCCTATTAATGAGAGATTTTGTATCCCTCAATTCAGCTGCCGCATCAACCGCATCCTGGAGTCCCCCCGAGGGAACGCGCTCCTGGTGGGCGTGGGGGGCAGCGGGAAGCAGAGCCTGACCCGGCTGGCAGCATTCCTGAGCTCCCTGGAGGTCTTTCAGATCACCCTGAGGAAGGGGTATGGCATCCCCGACCTCAAGGTAGGTGGCTTTTCTTAAGGCTGAGGTGGAGGGGAAGGAAATAAAGAGCAAAACTTGCCCTGGAAACTTTATCTTGTTGAACATCGAGAGGCAGCACTGTGGGGATGGCACAGGGCTGGACACGACCCAGGGGTGCCCAGGGGGGCAGGAGGCCAATGGGCCCTGGGCTGTGCCAGCCATGGGGTGTCCCAGGCCCAGGGCAGGGACTGTCCCTGTGCTGGCCCTGCTGAGGCACCTCCAGTGCTGGGGCAGCTCTGGCCCCTCAGACAGGAGAGACACTGAGGGGCTGGAGCGTGGGCAGGGAAGGGAACGGAGCTGGGAAGGGGCTGGAGCAGCAGGAGGGGCTGAGGGAGCTGGGGGGGCTCAGCCTGGAGAAAAGGAGGCTCAAGGGGGACCTTCTGGCTCTGCAATCTCTGACAGGAGGGGGGACTGGGGGGGGGGTCGGGCTCTGCTCCCAGGGAACAGGGACAGGAGGAGAGGGAACGGCCTCAGCTGTGCCAGGGGAGGGGCAGGTTGGGTGTTGGGGAAAACTTCTTCATGGAAAGGGCTCTCCAGCCCTGGCTCAGCTGCCCAGGGCAGTGGTGGAGTCCCCATCCCTGGAGGGATTTAAAAGCCATGTGAATGTGGCACTTGGGGACGTGGGTCAGTGGTGGCTTTGGCTGTGGGGAGGAACAGTTGGACATGATGACCTTAGAGGGCTTTTCCAACCTAAATGGTTCTGAGATCCTGGAACGCTCCAGACATGGTCCTGTGGGGAGGAGCAGTGCTGCCCCAGATGCCTTGCTGAAGGATGTCTGCTCAGGGTGCAGGCCCTGGTGTCTTCTGCCAGTGCTCCAAGCACTGAGAACATTCCAGACCAGCCTTGAGTGTCAGCCCTGAGCTGTGCTAATGAACCCCAGGTATTTCTGATTAAACCAGGGTGTGGTAATTAGCTCATCTGTGAGGTACCTGTTGTGGAGTGATTTGGAGGTAGAAAAGGAGCAAGTATGAAATCCCAGTCCCAAATCAGATGCATTTCCTCCTCTGGTATTTTGTATGTGGAAGGGACTGAGTGGATTGTGGATGGTTCACTAAAGACATCTACCTGTGCTTATATTTATGCACAGACCAGTGAGCTTAGGAGTTATAAATTAACATTTTGGGATATCACTGAAAGGTTTTTTAGGTTTTTTAGCTGCTGGCAAATGATTTGCAGTACAAATATTGTGAAAACCACCATCACAGTAACTTCACTCCCATCTGCTGGGAGATGCAACAGCCAATGACTCCAGGTTCCTTCCCCTTCAGTGGCACAGCCTGATGACCTGTGTTTGTGTTCAGGTTATTTCCATGGTGTCACACAAGCCTGTCTCATCATCTATTGGGTATTTTCATTTCTCCTCTGTTTTCAGCCCAACTCCTGGGATTTTCCAGCTCCTACCTGCCCATTTCCTGTGGCAGTCTGAGCCCCCAGCTGGGAACAGAGCTCAATACCAGCTTTAATCAACTTGTTTTCAAAGCATCTCTTTGCTTCTCTGTCTCTGGAGGTGGGAGATAATTTGATATTCCCTTCACTCTGTATTCATCTTCAAAGAATTTATGGATCACAGACTGGTTTGGGTTGGGAGGGACCTTAAAGACCACCCCTTCTAACATGGGCAGGGACACCTTCCACCAACCCAGATTGCTCCAAGCCCCGTCCAACCTGGCCTTGGACACTTCCAGGGATGGGGCAGCCACAGTTTCTCTGGGCAACCTGTGCCAGGGCCTGCCCACCCTCACAGCCAGGAATTTCTTCCTAAGGTGAAATATAGTGTAATTTTTTTTTTTCCCAGCTATAGAAGAGCAAGATGGTGAGAGCTTCCCCATCTGCCTTTGGCCCTCCCCACTCTTACCATCCATCTAATCCAAATTTCCACTGATCAAAGTAGCAAACTGTGTTTTTTTTGAAAAAGCATGTGTGTTTGCTGAATTTCTAAGAGAGTTTCTGAACCCTTTTCCAGTGCACAATCCTTCAGGATCCCTCACATGTCTGGGACCCTGCAAGGAGGGGTGGGAAGGAAAGGATGGAGGTTCAGCTGGATGAACATCTTCTTCCAACCCAAACTATTCTATGATGATTCAACTCATGAAAAAACTGGATTCACAAAGATGGTGGATGCTGTTCCCTTTGAAATAAAACTGCTATTCCATGGGAGCAGGCAGGAAAACAGGGACAATCACGGTGTCCAGAGCCAGGGACTGCATTGGTACTTTCAGCCACGGGCATTGCCCTGATCTGGTAGTGCTGGCCAGACCTTCTTCTGATTTCTGGGTTATCCAGACCTGGGCATGATGTCAAGCCTGACCTGTTAATGCCTGACAATGGTGACAGGAATGGGCTGGAAGGCTCAGACATGAAGGTGCAGAGTGGCCAAAGTGCAGTTTCCCACCAATTAACTGCAATTGCTTTGTTCTCAGTGCACTGGGAGGTTCTGAATTATCCCACTGGTAGCTCTGATACCCTGCCCATGCTTTGCAGAGTGTAGGGACAACCCCTCTTGCTTTCCAACCTCCAGGCAGACCTGGCAAACCTGTACCTGAAGGCTGGTGTGAAGAACACGGGCACCGTGTTCCTGCTGACCGACGTGCAGGTGGCGGACGAGCAGTTCCTGGTGCTGGTCAACGACTTCTTGGCATCAGGTACATCCCTCCTGCCTTGATTTCTCCTCTCCCCCTCTTCAGTGGAGCACCTGGGGTTCTAGAATCTACAGCAGGGCAAGAATGGAATAAGCTGGGAGTTACAGGGGTTAAGCCCTTGGGTAAAAGCCATGCCGGGGCCTCCCAGGGGAGCAGCTCCATCAGCTGGGAGATTTCTTTGCTTTCCCTCATGTCTTGTGCCCATTTTTGCATAAATAATGGAATACTGCACGTGGTTGTTATATGATGTGTCTGTTGGGACACTGCAGCTGAGGACAGAGCCAAAGGGTGTATCACCAGGTGAGGAGTTTCACCTATGGATCCCATGCATCCACATGATAAGTTAAGGTTGTTCCTGGCTAGAAGAATTGACTGGAGTGTCGGGGGAGAGGGAGTGAAAGGCTTAGACAAAATTTATTGGAGAAGCCCTTTCCTTGAGCTACAAGGTGCAGAAAGGACCCCCTGGCTTTCTAAACTCATCAGAGAGGAGCTTGGGGTGGCTGGATCCAATCTCAGCCTCAGATTTTGTCCACAGTTTAAGGAATTAAGAGTGAATGACTTTGTCCCACAGGTTTTAATGATGTCAAATCAGATATATTTATATAAAGGGAATTATTTATTATGACAAAAGAACAGACAAATGAACAGATGAAAGATCTTACTCAGAATTATTTACTACACAGTATAAAAGCTAAAAACTACTCATGATACAGCATAAGATAGGCTACTGCACTGTATCAAAGCAGTTCTATCAAAGCAGTTGTATCAAAGCTGGCAAAAAGAAACAATCATTAAGTAGAGATTGATGTAATTCACCATACAAGAATCCTGGGCAGAGCTTTCACTCAGCCCCTGGGGAGTGACCACGAAGAGTAATCACTGCTTCACAGGAGAAGCTCCACACACTCCAAGAATGCCTGTGGAAGAATCTGCCATATGAAAGTTGGACTGGGCTTTTATAAAGTGATTGACTGCCAGTCACATATTCCCAGGCCAGCCAGCAGCTTATCTGTCAAATCCTGCTTCAAAAAGCAGGGGTTGTGTTTGCAGTTGGTGAACCAGGCTGGGTTTGGCACAATTCAACACCAAAATAGCACCATGGCACCAGTGGTAGCTCAGCACAGTGTTTGGATTCTCTGACAGGATTTGAGGCCCAAGGCAGGTAAGACCTCTCAAGGCAGAGCATCCTGCTCCTTGGAGTATCTGTGGCTGGTGGATGATGCAAAGCCATGATGACCATGTCTGTGTTCACCACCTGGCTGCTTATCTCATTCCAATCCTTCTCCTCTTGTTTCTCCACATGCATTGAAGTTTTTGGGTTGTTGCTCACCAAAACCATTGCAGAGCAATCAGTGTCCGTGCCAGTGCTCTTCCTCCCTGCAGGATGTGGCACAGATGTGTGGTGAGCACTCCCTGGGCCGGGTGTGCTGCAGCTCCCTGGGAGTGCAGGTTGTGTCAGTGATGCCTAAAACCAGCTCCAGATAAAAGCCCTAAGACTCCATCAGTGAGTTTTAGCTTCCAAAGCATGCACCCAGAGTTACAGAAGCCTCTTGCTTTTATTTTGTTACCTAATTAACAGTTCAAAGCATTACACCTACTTCCCAAACCATCCCTCCAACTGTACCACCTTTGTCCCTGACACACCTCCCGAATTTGAGCCAGAGGTCTGGAAAACCCTTCTGTCTTCATCTTCCTCATCTTTTCCCTTGGTCTTTGGCACAGTATTGTGCCTTCTGGAATGGTTTCCAGGCCTCTGAATAGCTTTGAGTGGTTATATCAGCTGTTATGTCCCTTTCTCAATATGTTTTTACAGAGAAATCTTCACCTTGTTAAAATCCCTTGTCTGTTGAAATTCTTAACAAAGAATGTTAAACAGCATTATTAGGAATTTTGCACAAAGGTCCTAGTAAGATCTATTGAAACTCATTTAAAATAGATTTTAAGGCATCATCACTGGGGCTGTGGGGGACAACCAGAGTCGGCACCACACTCCCTGGGAAATCACTACCTGCCACTTGTGGCCTTGTTTATGAGCCAGGCTTAGGGAGGTACCAGCTGGTTCAGGTGCCCTCCAGGGATGGGGGGGGGGAGGAGTCAGCAGCATAACTGACAGTGAATAACTCCAGAGGTGACATTTGGGGCTGTAAATTGGTGGCCAGATGGTTTCAGCATCAAGCAAATGCTGCCTGTGATGAATTTGGAACCAGGAGCAAGGACGGGGGTTGTTGTGGAGGGCAGGGAGTAGCTCCCCCCAGCTCCTGGGGTAGATGCACAAACACCTGAGGAGTGAAGGGGAAGCTGGGGGTTCAGCCTGGAGAAGAGAAGGCTCCAGGGAGCCCCTTCCAGTGCCTAAAGGAGCTCCAAGAGAGCGGGAGAGAGACTTTAGAAAAGGGCCTGGAGGGACAGGACAAGGGGGAATGGCTTTGCATTGCCAGACAGCAGGGTTAGATGGGATATTGGAAGGAATCCTTCCCTGTGAGGGTGGGCAGGCCCTGGCACAGGTTGCCCAGAGAAGCTGTGGCTGCCCCATCCCTGGGAGTGTCCAAGGGCAGGTTGGATGGGGCTTGGAGCAACCTGGGCTGGTGGAAGGTGTTCGTGCCTGTGGGAGGGGGTAGAAGGAGATGAGCTTTTAGCTCCCAGCCCAAAGCCTTTTGGGATTCTGGGATTCCTTGTCCTGCAGTGAGGGGTGGACTGAGCATCCTGGCTTTGTGGTGTCCCAGGCAGGTTTTCCTGTGGTTGCTCTGGGGGCTGTGGGGACAGATCAAAGGTTGCCTTCCAGGGTCTGGGAGGCAACACAGGAGACTGAGACTCTCCATGAGGTGAGCGAGGGCTGTCCAGGGGATGCTGGCTGATGGCTCTGGCTGCTCCCTGCTCTGCAGCCTCTATTTTTTTATTGTTTCACTTCTTACCATCTAGAAAGCCAGAACAAAATATACCTTTTAGTCATTCTTATAAATGAGCAGATTTCTGAATTAATTGATTTCTTTAAGTGATTAGTGCTCATATTGATAGTATCTGACTCAATAAAGGGGATTTTAATCAAATCAGAAGCCAGAAAGGAAGCGAGTAAATAACAAATTAAAGAATCACTAAAAAAAATATTTGGTTGGGTGCATTTTTGGCAATCAATTGCTCAATTATTGAATTTTAAAAATGTTTACAAGATTTCTAGCTTTTAAAATGTTTTGGTGACCTGGGAGTTTTTTGACCACTGCTGGAAATGGCCCTAAACAGCTGCAGAAATTGTACATGTAATTAATGCACTTGCTAAACTCAAATGATTTTATATCATGTATAGCATATTAGGGATTTGATTATTTTATTGTAATCTAATTAGCTCTGTAGAACTAAAAAAAATGGACTTTCTGTGCTCTGACTCTATTTTATGTCCCTCTCCCTTGTGCTTTCTAAGGAAGTTTGCTTTCATAAATGTTTCTTTTTTAGCAGCATGACCTTCTGTGCCCCTCTGTTGCTGCTGGGGCCTGTTGGCACCTGATTTTACCTGAGGAAGGGACTTCCCTGGGCCCCAGAAGAGGGAGGCAGCTGCTTCCCTTTGCTCTAAGACTGCAACAACACCCAGCCCAGCCCAGTAACCCCAAACTCTTCTCTTAGGGGAAATACCAGACCTCTTCCCCGATGAGGAAGTTGAGAACATCATCAGCAGCGTGAGGAATGAAGTCAAAGGCCGGGGGTTGATGGGCTCCAGGGAGACCTGCTGGAAGTTTTTCACAGAGAGGGCTCGGCGGCAGCTCAAGGTGAGAGGGGTGGGGGAGGCCAGATCCTTCCCATCCCCCCTGGGACAGGTGTTGGGGTGGAGATGCCTTGGGCTGCCCCGTGGGGCTGCAGCATGAAAGGCTTTGCTGCCTGGGCATGACATGAGCTGGGATTGTCCCAGCAAGGTACACCAAAGTGGGGGATGTTCTGTCTGTTATCATTGCTTCTGGGTGTTTAGAAAGCTCAGAGGGCTCCAGGACAGAGGTTGCTGCTCCCTTGCTTTGATCTGGACTGAGCTGATTCCTGGAGGAGGAGAAGAGATTCTCTGTCCTGTCAAGTAGAATGGAGAGATGTGTGTCCAGTCTCTGCTGTTTGGGTGGTAGCTGTGGGATCCTCCATTGGAAGTGGCTGGTGGAGTTTGGGATGGGCTGTATGGCTGGAACCCCGTGCCTCTTCCTGGCCCTGCTTCCTCCCTTCTGCTCCTTGGGCTCCACAGGTTGCTCTGTGTTTTTCCCCCGTTGGCTCCAAACTGCGCATCCGCAGCAGGAGGTTCCCGGCCCTCGTCAGCTGCACCACCATCGACTGGTTCCAGGAGTGGCCACGGGAGGCCCTGGAGTCCGTCAGCCTCTGCTTCCTGAGAGACATGGGGGCTGTGGAGGTGAGACCTCACACAGAGGTACAGAATGTGCTGAGCTGGAAGGGACCCACAAGGATCATCCAGTCCAACCCTCAGCCCTGCACAGGCCCAGCCCCAAGAGTCACCCCCTGTGCCCCAGAGGATCATCCAAACCCTCCTGCAGCTCTGGCAGCCTTGGGGCTGTGCCCACTGCCCTGGGGAGCCTGTTCAGTGCCCAACCAGCCTCTGGGGGAAGAATCTTTTGCTGAGCTCCACCCTGAGCCTGCCCTGACACAGCTCCAGCCATTCCCTGGGGGCTGTCCCTGCTCCCCCCAGAGCAGAGCTCAGTCCTGCCCCTCCTCTGCCCCTGCCCAGGCAGTTGGAACTGCAGGGAGGTCTCCCCTCAGTCTCCTCTGCTCCAGCTGAACACACCAAGTGCCCTCAGTGTCCTCACACGGCTTCAAATCCAGGCCCTTCCCCATCTTTGTTGCCTCCTTTGGACACTCTCCAATGGCTTACATTGTGTCCCCCCCAGTCTGCCCCAATATTGCAGGTGGGGCCATCAACACAGAGCCAGGACACCTGGGTGTGTGTCCAGAGGGGCACTGCTGGTGGCACTGAAGTGCATCAAACTCAACCAAACTATCCTTGAAACAAGGCCTAGGTTTTTCAGGGAGGGACATGGACCTTGGCAGCAGTGCTATGGGCACCACGCTCCTGGGCACTGCTGGCACTGCTAGGGAAGGACTGCTCTGGCAGCACAGAGGCAGCTCCAACCCAGCACAGAAAATAACCTGGTACTCCTGATCACTGCAGGGAAGACGTGCTCTGCTCTCCCCACACGTGTCTGAGCCTCTGGAATTCTCAAGGGCAAAAATATGTCAAGTTCTCATTGATGACAACATGCTACTGGATTAAAAGAGATTCATTTCTGTTTATTTAGCTTTTCTGGGCAGGATTTGGGAAGAATAAAGTCTACAATGTTTCTTTTTAGGAGTGTGCACTTTTCCTATTTGTACAGAAGAAAAGCCCAGATTTATACTTAAAAGGCTGTTATTTTGTAGAGCTGAGTGCCAGAAAAATTGCTTGGAATAAGATAATATGTGAGATAAAAAGATACAAAAAGAAGTATAAAGTACACGAGCAGACAAAGTTATTTTAGAGATAACAGTGAAAAGGGATCAGCTTAGGTTTTACATCCTGGATTGTGCTGCAGTAGAATGAAAAGTTACCAAATTCCTTTATATTCAGCACAGCCCTGTGTTATATATAGTTTTCTATTTGAAATAGTTTCCCCTTGTCTCCTCATCTTGCCTGTAGGATTCAGTGAAAGATTCAATAAGCAGATTCATGGCCCATGTCCACACCAGTGTCAATGAGATGTCCCGGCTGTACCTGAGCAACGAGCGCCGCTACAACTACACCACCCCAAAGTCCTTCCTGGAGCAAATCAAGCTCTACCAGAACCTGCTGCTGAAGAAGGACAAGGATTTAAAGGCAAAAATGGAGCGGCTGGAGAACGGCCTGGAGAAGCTCAACAGCACCTCTGCACAGGTAACACCCCCTGAGGGCTCCAAGGGGATGGGTTTCCTGTTTCTCTGTCAGAGACAACTCTGCATCCTGGTTTGAAGGACAATTTTACAGGCTAAGACTGTACAGGGAAAAAAAAAATTGGTGCTGGATCCTGGCTCTAGTCTGGCTGTGGGTTCCTGGAGGAGCAGAAGTGATGCTCTGTCCTGGAAGGGAGAATGGGGAGAGCTGTGTCCAGTCTCTGCTGTTTAGTTGATAACTGAAAGATCACAGTAAGTAAAATGAGATTGGGATCCAGCTGGCTGTGTCCCTTAATGGTTAAATTTGATCTATGATGACAAAATAGCTCATAAAGTACAGGGACAATCAGTGATTTTTAGAGTTGCTTCCGGGAAATCCACAATAACTTCAGCAAGACACCTTCAAACTAAATAGTGCATGCTGTTAAAATGAGGCTGATGTTAATTTTCCCTTGCATTGTGTTATCCATCTTTAAGGAAAACTAATGCATGTCTGAAATACAGGTTAGTCATCCCAAAATGCCCCTAGTAAAGAACCAAACTGGCACTGCCCCCTGGTAATGAGTAGAAGTTTTTCTGGGTATTTCCCAAACCTCTGCAGAGACACAAACTGCCTCTCAGTGCTTTACATCTGTTGCTCACCTCCTGTTTTTCTCTCTATTTCATATTCTATTAGCTCTTACAAGTGGTAAACATTCCAAACTTCTGCAGTGGTAAATGCGCCTCTCCTGAAGCTCGTCTGAAGGGAAGCAGGGGTTGATGTGAATGAAGGACTGGCTGTCCATTCCATTCCATATATCTGCTCTGGATAGTGCTGGGGGCATAAATCATGTCTGTCACACTCCATGGGACACAGGCCTGCCTGGAGGGTGATGGATGGGCTGTGCTGGTGCCTCTCAGCGCTGACATCTCCATCTCACTTCAAACAGTTGCTTTTCTTATGGTGCAGGACAGGTTTGTGAGGACACGGGAGGAGGGACCACGTGCCACGTCCCCTTTGCAGGTTTTAGCATCTCACAGAGTCACAGAATCTGCTGAGTTGGGAGGGACCCACAAGGATTATCCAGTCCAAGCCCTGGCCCTGCACAGGCCCATCCCCAAGAGTCACCCCCTGTGCCCCAGAGGATCATCCAAACCCTCCTGCAGCTCTGGCAGCCTTGGGGCTGTGCCCACTGCCCTGGGGAGCCTGTTCAGTGCCCAACCAGCCTCTGGGGGAAGAACCTTTGGTTAAAACTTGCTGTTATTAATGCCAAAGTCATAGATTTAATCCACTGTATGGGTCATTCACTTAAGAGCAAGATTCGCTGATCCCTGGGGGTCCTTTCTAACTCAGAATATTCTGTGATTATGTGTAATATCAAATCTAAACCTCCCCTGACAGAACTTCAGGGCCCATCATTGAGGTGAGGCTGCCCCAGGGCAGAGCAGAGCGGGACAATCCCCTCCCTGCTGCCCCCAGGACAGGGATGTCCCTCCTGGCTACCAGGGCACTGCTGACTCAGGGACAACTGGCACCACCAGCACCCCCAGGGCCCTTCCCCAGCACTGCTCTCCAGCCTCTCATTCCCGGTCTGTCTGTTCATCTGGGGTTGCACCAGTGACACCAGTGGCATCCACCTGGGCAACGAGAAGGTGCCCTCCCTGCACACACCCCTCACCCATGGAGGCCGTAGCTCTGCTGACCTGTGAGGTGCTGCTGTTGTTGATGATTCCCCAACAGAGAACAAGATGATCTTTTTTATTGGGATCAACTGATATGAACCTCATCTTCTGAGAACAAGTCCCTGTAGTGGGTGTTCTTCAGGCCTCTCCTCAGTGGGTGCTGTGTTGGCAGGGTTCTCTGAGGAGCCACCCAGCAGGTGCTGAGACAGTGGGGGAGAACTGGGGAGGCAGTGGGAAGGGTGGGAAGCCACAGCACTGGGGGTCTGGGAGATTTTGCTCTTGCAGGAAGGGTGAAAGAGCACAAAGTTTGTGTCTGGCGGAGTGAGGCTTGGGGAGAGAGGTGCCTGATGGGGAAGTTGATTAAGATGCAGAGCAGTGAGGACAAATATGTCAAATTTGAATCTAAAATTAGCAATGGGGGCCTAAAATTAAACACCTTTAATTATCAGATGTGCGCAATAGTCAAACTGCTGCTGATTTGAAACCAGAGCGTGGATATTCAGCACTACTGGAAATCATGCCAGTATGTTCCATCTTGAATATGGATTTAAAAGCCTGAACTTTACATTCACCCATGGAAATGCTCAGTCTTGGGGCTGAGGAAACGACAAGTCTCTCTCCCTCAGGTGTGTCATCTCCAGATGTGCTGCTGGTGCTTGGATTGATCCACTGGGGAGAGGAGGGTTTTGATAGCTGGGTATGGCCCGGTTGTGCCTGGGGCCTGAGCACTGGTGCTCACCAGCACCGTTCTCCAGAGTCCTGTAGCTTGGATGGCATGACAATTAGTGATGAGTTTGTGTTTCTATAGGCTGGGCACTGTGGCCTCAGCACGAGGGGCTGTTGTGCCAAGAGCTGCGGGTACTTTTTGACTTGGCTGTTCCAGTTTCAAATTAACTTCTCTACCTCCTTTAACTCTTCTCTCCCCCAAATTTTTTTTTTCTTCTGAGATTTTTTCATCTTTATGTTGTTGCTTCTACAGAAACACTTTCCATCAGCTTACAGCCCTCTCTCCCTGCAGACAGCAGTGTCCTCAGCACTCAGAAAAGCAGAAGCCTCCTTCCTATTAGGACGTAATGGATTGGGAAGATGTGTGGGATGAGTCATTTGTTTTTCAGAGTGCTGTTTGCCATGGAGAGGTCAGCACTCAGATCAGAGCCCACTGCTGAGTAATTCTGAGGATGCCTTTGGTTAATATTGCATCACTCCATTCCAGATTTGAGTCTGGCTTGTGCTATCAATTAATCGCTGACCTTTGTGATATATTTTGTGTTCTTGAAACCAGGCAGGGACAATCAGATAAAATGAGTCTCCTGGGAGCCTGCCCTCCAGGTTTTCTGTTCTTTAATAACTTTTCTCATGCTGTGCTGGTGGTAGGCAAGTGCTTCTCCCTTCCCTCCCCTGCTGAAGTCACTGCACATTACCCTTGAACCTCTGGTTTGCTTTGCTCTTTCCCTTTCCACCTCACGTTAATAATTGTTCATCAGATTGTTCTGCACTCAGGAAGCTGCTCACAGGTTTCTCCTAAAATCACAGAATCACAGAACCGCAGCATGGCTGTGTTTGGAAGGACCTTAAGGATCATCCCATTCCAACCACCTTCCATGGACAGGGACACCTTCCACAAGCCCAGGTTGCTCCAAGCCCTGTCCAACCTGGCCTTGGACACTTCCAGGGATGGGGCAGCCACAGCTCCTCTGGGCAACCTGTGCCAGGCCCTGCCCACCCTCACAGGGAAGAATTTTTTCTGTATATTTAACCTAAATTTCCCCTCTTTCAGTCTGAAGCCATGTCCCATCACTGCAGGCCCTTGTAAATAGTCCTTCCCCAACCTTCCTGCATTTTTAAAATGCTGACAGTGCTGTAGCCAGTGATTTCCCCTTCCATCACTGCCTGTGCTTGGCAGGGCACTCTCTGTTCCCCGGGGCTGTGCTGAGCTGGCTTTGTAAAGCTGTTGAGTGCCCGGGGATTTTAATCCCCTGCTTGTTTTGTCCTGGTCATGTAAAACCCTGAAGCTGCTGTTTGTGTGTCTATCCTGCACACAAAGGCTGGGCTTTGGGCAGAAGGTCACAGGCTGTATCTGCCATCAGCAAAGCCCCCTTCAATTCCCTGCAATCCCCCAAGAGCCAGAGCTGAACAAGGAGCTGCCTCGACTTTGTCAAATGAGGGGATTAAGCGCTCCTGTGAGCCTGGATTTACAGCCCTGCCTTTGTCCTGGTGAAAGCAGCCCCACAGTGCCAGCAGCAGGGGATGGTGATGGATGAAGGGCATGCAGAGACTCCTGAGAAACTGCTCTCCATGTGAGGCCGATGCCGAGCATCAACAGCTGCAGTTTGGAGACTGCAATGTGTGCTCTCCCTTCTGGTGTCAAAATGTGTCACACCAAAAACAAGGGTCTGGCTTCCCTTCTAGGGGACATTTCTGTGTAGGTAAATATGTGCCCCAGGACCTCTTAGTGATCCTTTAGGAGCCTGAGATAAGGAACGTGAAAACCTGCGTGGTCTGCCCAGAGCCTCGGGAATTTCACTGCAATGGGAGATTTTAGAAAGAGAATTTCTGTGTGCAAAGTGGGAGCCTGTGTGACCTCCCCACCATGCAAACACCTCAGCCTGGAACTGGATAGGGCTCCTGGGAGGGAGCAGCTGCTCTGTGGAGCAGTGTGTGAGGAACTGCCACCACAGCTGTGCCTCTTGGGGACCAGCTCAATGGGACATCTCCCCAGGCTCATCTGACATCACATTCAAAGCCCCTCGAGCCTTGGAGCTGGACCTGTTAGCAGATCCCAGTTGGAATCTTTCTGGGTGAAAAATTATGTTAGAAAGAAGTTTTTCCTCATGAGGGTGGGCAGGCCCTGGCACAGGTTGGCCAGAGCAGCTGTGGCTGCCCCATCCCTGGAAGTGTCCAAGGCCAGGTTGGACGGGGCTTGGAGCAACCTGGGTTGCTGGAAGGTGTCCCTGCCCATGGCAGGGGTCGAACTGGATGAGCTTTAATGCCTTTCCAACCCAAACCATTCTGTGATTCTATGACTCTGTGGTTCCTGGTGCACAGGTCTTCCTCAAAACCACCATGTGCTCGGTCCTGCTGGTGTCAGGGTCAGAAACGAAACAAAAAACGGAGGGGCAGGCACTGATTTCTTGTCTCTGGTGACCAATGACAGGACCCAAGGGAATGGCTGGAGCTGTGTCCGGGCAGGCTCAGGGTGGATCTCAGCAAAAGGTTCTTCCCTCAGAGGGTGGTTGGCACTGAACAGGCTCCCCAGGGCAGTGGGCACAGCCCCAAGGCTGCCAGAGCTGCAGGAGGGTTTGGACAACGCTCTCAGGGACAGGGTGGGATTGCTGGGGTGTCTGTGCAGGGCCAGGAATTGGACTTTGATGATATTTGTGGGTCCCTTCCCACTCAGGAGATTCTTTGGTTCTAGAATTTTATCCCATGTCATCTCTCCAACAAAACACTTGCCCACAGCACCTGCACACCTCCAGGCAGGGGGGATGTGACATCAGAGCTCATGTTCAAAGCTGCTGTATTTGGTTTTACAATGACAGAAGCTTCCTGCAAGAGCCTGCTCCATGATGGGGCTCCTGGCCTGTACAAAGATCATCCCAAGAATATCTGAAATATGCTTCCTCCTGCTTCCCACTGGGTCCTGCTCAAAGCAGTGTCCAGTGTTGCCTTAGTCCCTCTGTCCAGTCTCCCAGCAGAGGCAGGGAACAGGGGTGGGACAATTCCCTAAGCAGTGCATCCTGCTGGTGCTGGGACCTCCCCAGCTGGGTTCCTCACAGGGCTCCTCACTGCACACACTGCCAGGGGGCTTGGTGTGTGCACCATGTGTGGGCTCTGCAACCTGGAGCAAAGGAGAGCAGGAGTGTCCTGTCCACAGCTGGAAATGTTGCTTCCCAGGGCACTGCCTCACAGACAGGCCCTCCCTGCCCATGGGTCCCACTCCTGGCTGGGGACTGTCCCTGCTCCCACTCCCACGTGTGTCTTCCCCCCAGGTGGATGAGCTGAAGGCCAAGCTGGCAGCCCAGGAGGTGGAGCTGAAGCAGAAGAGTGAGGATGCTGACAAGCTGATCGAGGTGGTGGGGGTGGAGACGGAGAAGGTGAGCAGGAAAAAGGCGGTGGCCGACGAGGAGGAGAGGAAGGTGGCACTGATCACCCAGGAGGTGCAGCAGAAGCAGAAGGACTGTGAGGAGGACCTGGCCAAGGCTGAGCCGGCCCTGGCAGCTGCCCAGGCTGCTCTCAACACCCTCAACAAGGTAAGGTGAGGATTCCCAGGGGGATCCAGTGTCCCCCCTGCACTGTGTTCCCCTTTACTCATCTCCATGGAAAGGAGCAGACAGAACCAGTCCAAAGGAAGGTGCCACTGGGGAAATGTATAACCAGGAAATAAGGGCTGCTCTGATTGCAGGAGACCAACTGACTGGTTTAGGAAAGACTTTTGGTGCTCCAGGGGTTCCCATTTGGAGCCCAACAGACACACACCTGCAATTTCTTTTGATCTGCAGTTCTTGCAGCATCCTGGAGCACCAAACTCCCACTGCACACAAGGCCCAGGGAAAATCCACGAGCTGAAAAATTCGGGGTTATTATTGCCACGATCACAGCAAGGAATGGCTCAGTCCTCCTTCAAACCATGGCTCAGTCACAGCCCTGCTGGAAGGCAGGAAAGTGACTCTGAGCCATCCAAAATGGGGGTTCTATTGGATTAGATCTCGGGAAAGATGGGATTTTGGGTTTTGCTTTGGCTGTGGTTCATGGAAGGGAAAGGACTGTACAAAAGGAAGGTGTTTGTCTCTCCACTGGTTTTGGTTTTGTGCTGGAGCTGTGGTGTATCTCATTAGACAAAGATGGGGAGATGCTGGGGTTCTCTCCAGGGACCTGTAAAGCAGCAGCAGCAGAGCACTGGAAACCGTGGGCCCCTTTACCTGCTAATTGGAAATGCATCAGAGAGCCTGACCTGCTCTCTGACATGAATAACCAGTAATGTTTATGTGTGTATATATAGTTTCTCCCCAGTTATCTGTCATCTTACTTGGACAGCACAGTTATATGCAACATTAACAGGGCAAACAGTGAGCAAAGCTGGTGAGGAGAATCTAGTTATATCTATCTATCTATCTATCTATATATATATATATATATATATCTAGTCAGTTACCAGGGAGCTCAGTGAGGATGTGGATTTGTGGACAGTCCTGTGACACTGTCACCTGCCAGTGCAAAAGAAGAGCAGCCATGGCCATAGGGATGTGTGTCCTGTGCAGAGTGTGTGGAGAGGAAGGGAGAGCAGGTGCCTTTGCACTAATCCAGGGGAAGGAGCACAGAGTCATGGAATATGCTGAGCTGGAAGGGACCCACAAGCATCATCCAGTCCAACTCCTGGCCCTGCACAGGCCCATCCCCAAGAGTCACCCCCTGTGCCCCAGAGGATCATCCAAACCCTCCTGCAGCTCTGGCAGCCTTGGGGCTGTGCCCACTGCCCTGGGGAGCCTGTTCAGTGCCAACCACCCTCTGGGGGAAGAACCTTTTGCTGAGATCCGACCTGAGCCTGCCCTGACAGCTCCAGGCTGTTCCCTCAGGTGTTTGCACTTCTCTTGATGTGTGGGACTAAGTGAAGGGGTCACACCATGAGTGTTCTCTCCTCATGGGCTGCAACTTGAACCCAGCTTGATTCTGCTCCTTTGTTTGTGGTGGGAGGATTATCTTTCAGATGCTTTAAATAGTTCCCTTTGGTGCCCTCAGAACCCTCTGTACCCACGCTGCTCTCAGGAGAGCTGGCCAGGCTCAGCCTTTGGCAGGGTTAACTCTCATTCTGTTCCTTACAGTTTAAACTTTCCTGTTCCTTTTTTTTCCCATGTGAGCCAAGAAGTGACCCTGGGCTGGGTCAGCCCAGCTTTGGATGTGCTAGGGGGACCCTCTGCAGCCCCTCTGCCCCTGCTTTAGTGTTAATGCCTTTTGCAGAGGTTGGTGGCAGTGAGAGTGACTGAGGCAAATTGAGAGGCTATATTATGGAGAGGTAAGTATACACATAAATGAAATAGTTTTTTATATATATAAAAATATATTAAAATTATCTCATTTAAGTATATACTGTAAGATAATTAAGGTAGTTATTCTATGGACCAGGATGGGTTGTGAGAGATGGAGTGCAGAGCACCTGCAAAATGAAAAAAAATGCACACCCAGATGTGATAGTGAGTTTGAAAATGTGAGAAATCAGGGTTTAGAGACAAAAATGCCCTTTCAGCTCCTCCAGTGCAGTTTGGCTGCTTGCCCTGTGAGGGTGCCTGGGCTCTTTCTCAGTAGCTGCATTGCCTGGGCCCTGAGGATGGCAGGACATGGGACCCAGTGGATCTGGTGTTTTGGCATCATCATCTCAGCCTGGGGAGGAGGGAACGTGAAGGGAAGCTCTGAAGGCTGTTCTAGAGGGGCTGGGGGCTATTTTTAGAGGTTATTATTTGGAAACATTTCTTTCTTCCTTATCCCAGTCACTTGAGAGGGCAGGAAACCTCCAGCTCCCCCAGGCAGCGGGGAAGGGGTGGGAGTGTGGGGAGGAGCAGTGTGCTGAGCTGGTGCCAGGTGGGATGTCAGGAGCTGGATGCAGGGAGTGGAGCAGGAGTGCTGGGAAGATGCAGAGCAGGGATCTAAAGGCAGCGCTGTGGGGGCTGAGAGGAGCCCAATTTGTCAGACTGATGGCTCGGGAGCCTGACTCCATTAGTGCAGAGTGGAAAGCAAGCCCATTCATTTTCATCTAACAACCTGGTTTTCCCCTCTCCAGACCAATCTGACAGAGCTGAGATCCTTTGGGTCCCCCCCTTCCGCCGTCAGCAACGTCACCGCAGCCGTGATGGTGCTGACGGCCCCAGGAGGGAAGATCCCCAAGGACAGGAGCTGGAAAGCAGCCAAAGTGGCCATGGCCAGGGTGGATGGCTTCCTGGACTCCCTGATCAAGTTCAACAAGGAGAACATCCACGAGAACTGCCTCAAAGCCCTCCAGCCTTATTTACAAGACCCCAAGTTCAACCCCGAGTTCGTGGCCACCAAGTCGGCGGCAGCGGCCGGGCTGTGCTCCTGGGTGGTGAACATCGTGCGCTTCCACGGCGTCTTCTCTGAGGTGCAGCCCAAGAGGCAGGCCCTGAGCAGGGCCAACACTGAGCTGGCAGCAGCCCAGGACAAGCTGAGCACCATCAAGGCCAAAATTGCAGTAAGTGCCCTGTGGTGGGACCCGTCACTGCCTGGGGAGAAATCCCCAGCTTTGGGGGAGGCTGCTTCTCTGCATTTGTGGGTTTTTTAAGGGCAGGTTGGGGATCCAAAGGTTTGGGCCTTTGTAGGGTTTTCTATCCCTTTTGTTTCAGTGAAAGCCCAGAAATCCAGCTGTGTCCTGGGCTGCAGCACAGGAAGAGTGGGAAGCAGGGTGAGGGGGGGATTCTGCCCCTCTGCTCCACTCTGCTGAAACCACACCTGGCACAGGTTGCCCAGAGAAGCTGTGGCTGTCCCATCCCTGGAAGTGTCCAAGACCAGGATGGATGGGGCTTGGAGCAACCTGGGATAGAAGAAGGTGTCCCTGCCCATGGCAGGGGATGGAATGAGATGGGCTTTAAGTTCTCTTTCCACCCAAACCATTCTGGGATTCTCTAACTGTATTATAGGATATGACTGCTTTCTAAATTCCTCCTGTTATTCTCCAACCTTGCCCCTGAAGAGGAAGGTTAGTTATGAACTCTTATTACTGCCACCTAATTTTTGTAATTTAATTTACCTCTTCTTATGGATCCTCAGGAAGCTCCTTCTCTCAACCCAGTGTATACTCAGTGTGTGTACAGGGCAGAGGGACTGGAGGCTGATTCAGAGCTGGGCTGGCCCTGTGCTCAGGCCTTGGGGATGGGCAGGTTTTGCAGGATCACAACTGCTCTGGTAGGAGCCTCAATTGTCCCTGCACAGCTCCCTGGCAGCACATCTTGTACCTTATTTGGGATTTTACTACTTAACAAATAAATAAAAATTCTCTGAATAGAAGAAATTCCAGTGTGATTAAAAGTGCATTTCCACACAGTGTGACTTCAGGCCTTCAGAAAATCATCTCTATATTAAAATACATCCTGTTTTATGCTGCTTTTCTCTGTGGTCCCTCCAGGCTGATACCTGCTAAGAACAGAATGTGGGAACGAGCTCCTCCAGAACCTGCCTGGTTTTGGGCTGCTTTGGCTCTGGGATCCCTCTTTGGGAGTGGGATCCCCTCCATGGCTGGAACTGCAGCTGGGGAGGGGTCCCAGGCAGGTCCCTGCACTCATATTTTCCACAGGCACATCTTCCTCTCAGAAAACACGTCACTCTTTTGATGTTTCTGAGGGCTTATTATTCTTAAAATGCTTACTGCACTTTTTACCTAGAAATACAGAAACCCAGTGCAGGGCTCTCCAGTCACCCCTTCCTGCTGCAGATGAAAGGAGGCACCTGGAGCAGGGATGGATTTGGAGGGCTTTAGTGTCTAATTCTCCCACTTCAGATGTGCAATACAGTGCTGGGGAACTTTTTTCATCCCTTTATGCCTCTCTTTTCAAAAGCTTTTAATGCCTGGGCTTTTCTTTTTTTCTTTTCTTTTTTTTTTTTTTTTTAAAGGAGTGGGATTTTGTTAAAGCAAATTGCAATCTTTGGGGAGATTACTGGTACCTCTCCGGCATGCACTTACAAAACTGCCTGGTTTAGGTGCATTTTCCCCTCTGCAGATGGGTAGTGATGCTGCTCAGCGTGGGATGGATGTGGAGGTACATCCCTGCTTATCAAGCTGGGATATCTTGGGCAGCTTCACTGCTGTGGGGCTGATTCATACCTGCTCACAGCTGGGCCCCAAGATGTTACATACCCATTTTTAGTAATAAATGAGACTGTTCTGATTGTCTGAAACACTAAATACCTTTGCCTCTCCTTGGCCTGCTTGGCAAGTAAGATGCTGTGGCCCTGGGGAGGGTGAGGTAGAAGCCAGGAGTGTGTTCACAGCTGTATTTGTGTGTCACTCTGGAGTGTGTCTGGTGGGGTCCTGCAGGTCTGGCCTGTTCTTCGGACCAGATATATGTATATATTCTATACTTAATTATCAGATTGTGCTTGAACAATGGGATTTGATCTATATGAGGCTTTGTAGGCACATGCCTCCATTTGCATACAGGGACAGAAACTTTTTGTGTTATTAGTTCCAAGGCAGGTCAAGGAGAGACTGCTTTGTTTTTTTCCAGTATCCAGGATGGCTGCAGAGATCCCTAATATAATCCTTTTTCATTTTCAGGTTTGTTTCTAGTGTGTACCTCAGTGTTAAAGTGATTTACAAGCAGTTTAGCCTTAAGCAGTCTGCACTGGGTGCAGATAAAATCAATTATTACTTCTCTTATCAGAACTGAAATGCTCCAAGTGCTCGTGGGAGCTGTTGATTTGCTTTAGATCAGAGTGTGAACAGCTCTGTCCAAGCAAAGGGCTCTTCAGCTTTTTCTCCAGGTGCTTTGGCCCCTTTTCTCCCCCTTCCCAGCCCTGAAGCTCCATGCATTGACCTTCATGGGAGGTGATCCCACCTCTCTAGGGGCTCCTGGCACAGGTTTTGGCAACTTTTAGAGCAGCACAATTTTATTGCCTTCCCTGTGATATTCCCTTCTCAAAACAGGGTGAGGGGATGGCTTGGACGTGGTTTAGCTGCGCCTCCAGCCACTCCAGGAGTCCTTTGGGGATTTAAGCACAACTTGGGGACGCAGCAGAGCCTCAAGGACTGCTCTGAGATCAAGAGGCTGCAGCATCAGGATAGATCAGATTTGATTTCCTCAGCTGCCTGCTCACTGCTCAGCCATAGCACTGTCCTGGGGGCTTGGCCACAAGGACCCCCTGCCTTATCCAGTTTAAATTCACAGCAGGGCAGAGCCCCAAATAACTTAGTTTTGGGTGTCCTTTGCCTCTGCCTTGTGCTGAGGGTGTGTTACATGAGGAGCACAGCCCAGCCCTGCTCTGTGCTGGCTCCTGGTGCCAGCCAGGGTGGGTGAGCTGGGCTTGGCCAGTCCTGCCACAGGCCAGGCAGCTCTGTTTGCCTGAGTGTCACAGGATCCTGGAATGGTTTGGGTTGGAAGGGACCTTACAGTTCATCTCCTTCCACCCCCTGCCATGGGCAGGGACACCTTCCACCAGCCCAGGTCGCTCCAAGCCCCGTCCAACCTGGCTTGGACACTTCCAGGGATGGGGCAGCCACAGCTTCTCTGGGTCTCCCCACCCTCCCAGGGAAGAATTTCCTTCTAATACCCAATCTAAACCTGTTCTCTTTCAATCTGAAGCGACTGCTCCTTGTGCTGTTCTTCCAGGCGCTTGCATCAAGTTCCTCTCCAGCTCTCTTGGAGTACCTTTAGGCACTGGACAGGTCTCTAACTTCCTTCCAGAGCCTTCTCTTCTGCAGACTAAACACCCCCCGCTCTCCCAGCCTTTCCCCATGGCAGAGGTGCTCCCGCCCTCCCAGCGTGTCTTGGTGGCTCCACACCCTCCCTGTGCTGTTCAAGCCGTGCTGTTGCTTTCTCTGTGTTTCCCGTGCAGCGCCTCGACCAGAACCTGGGCAGGCTCAGGGCCCAGTTTGAGGAGGCCACTTCAGACAAGCTCAAGTGCCAGCAGGAGGCTGCAGCCACAGCGAGAACCATCGCCCTGGCCAACAGGCTGGTGAGTGTCCCAAACCCAGCTCTGCTGGCACCCAAGGGAGGGGCCAGGAGCTGAGATGACCACGGGCACACAGCACGTTCCATCCCCTCCTCTGTTGGGAATACATTTCCCTCACTGCAGCATGTTCCAGTAATGAAAATGCTTTTGCACTGGCTTTTTTCATCCATCAGAGCAGCTCAGCTCGTTAAAGGGACTGGCTCTGCTCTCTTCACAGCTCTCACCTCCTGTTTTCTGCTTTCAATGTGTCATCAAGTATAGAGGGGCCAAAACTGTACGGCTCGAAAATTGTATTATGAAAACAAAGGTGAGAACTTGCAGCTCTGCAGGTTTTGAAATGAGAAAAATGAGAGTGAAAAGCTCTCTAAAAGCAGCACCTGTCCCTGTTACCCAGACACCCAGGCTGTGGTGTCTGCAGGCCCCATGCTCTGCAGAGCAAGACTGAGGAGATGTCAGAGCCTGGGAGGCGATGTCTGCTGCCCTCACTGCCCCATCAGCTGGAGCCCCAGCTCACACCTCAGTGCTTTGTGTTTTGGCCTCTGCACCTTTGGCTGTTAACCTGGAGCCAGTTTCTTCTCCAAGCAGGGGGTTGGAGCTTCAGGAGCCTGCTCTGTGCTGAGCTCTGCCCTGGGGGTGAGGGGAGCAGATGGTTCCAGCAGCTGGTTCTGCTGGCCCCGGCTCGTCCCCAGCACACTGAACCCCAGCCAGCCTGTGGTTTGACCTCCCTGACTCTCTGTGCCTGCAGGGAGGGTGCAGGGGGTGGTTCAGACCTCTCTGAGGGCACCCCTGGGCACTGCAGTCCCACACAGCTCCTGCTGCAGCTCTGGGGTGGGAACTGCAGGTTACTGGGCAGTGATGCAGCCTGTGGGGCCAGCAGGTGCAGCTGCAGCTGGAGACACCCGAGGTGTACAGAGCACCTGGAAACCTTGATGGACTCACAGACTCACAGAATGGGTTGGGCTGGAGGGGACTTTATAGATCATCTTATTCCAATCCTCTGCCACGGGCAGAGACACCTTCCACTACACCAGACACACAGATTCATGAAGCTTTCCAAATTTGACAGGCTGGAAGAGCTGGGGCTGTTCAGCCTGGAGATGAGAAGGTTGTGTGGAGACAGCACCTTCCAGGATCTGAAGGGGCTACAGGGAAGCTGGAGGGGGGCTGTTAATTGATAACTGGAGTGACAGGACGAGGGGTAGTGAGTACAAACTAAAAGAGGGCAAATTTAGGTTCAATATGGAAGGAATTTTTCCCTGTGAGGCCCTGGCACAGGTTGCCCAGAGAAGCTGTGGCTGCCCTATCCCTGCAAGTGTCCAAAAACAGGTTGGACAGGGCTTGGAGCAACCTGGGCTGGTGGAAGGTGTCCCTGTCCACAGCAGGGGGTGGAATTAGGTGGTCTTTAAGACCCCTTCCAACCCAAACCATTCTATGACACCACATACCAGAACATCCTGGTTCCATCTCTTCCTCACCTCATGACCTGGGAACTGGGTGGAACCTTAACGATGCCATGATTCTATAGTGTCAGAAATTCATCATTTTGCAGAGTAGGCAAGGAACTACCTGCATCCCAACTTCCTGCTGTGCACTGCACACCATCTCCTGTGGCGTCCTGGCTTTGATCCAGGAATAGCTCTTGACAGCCCTCACTGGTGTGCAGTTCATTTGACATTCAGGATGTGGCACCTGTGTGGTTGTGGGCAGAAATGAGTTCCCAGACTTTGAAATAAACACATTTGAGGTTGTATGAAGAATAGAACTGAACAGAGAATGATGCTTAGGAATAACAAATGAACCTGGGGGATGAAGGCAATCCCAGCCCTGGCAGTGCCAGATTGGCATCTCCTGAACTCCAGCTGACCTAAGGAAGATGCTTCAGGATCCAGCAGACAGGGAGCAGGGATCTGTGCATCAGAGAGGGAGGCTGGCTGGTGATGGAGTTTGTGAGTGGGTGCTGCTAATGCAGCATATGACATTTAGTGATGACAAATGCAAAATAACGTGTGCAGGGAAAACAAACTGTAATCATGCAGTTACATGGATGGGGCCTAATTGCACCATTATCACTCACTGAAGAGCTCTTGGAGTGGTTGAAATGAGTTCTCAGGAACAGCAACGTGGCACTTGACTGGAGGAAGAAAGACAAACTGAATATTAGTAATTGGTAGAAAAAAACCTTGGGAAGCAGAAGTTAAACATCATTGTATCAGGTTGTCAGTGCCTCCATCCCACATATCTGAGCAAGGGGTTACCCCATCTCAGGAGGGTGGGGGCAACTTAGAAAAGCTCCAGCCAAGTATAGAACCACTTCAGTGTGAGAAGAGAGGAAATAGGTTGGGACTCTTCGCTCTGGAAAAGGTGTAGAGGGGATGGATGTGAGAGAAGCCTCCAAAGTCATGACTGCTCTGCCGAAGGTGAGTGGGCAGTGGGTGTTCACTATCCCTCATTAGCAAAGGCTAAAGGGACTCCCATGAGTAGCTTTTAATTTGCTGCTTGTTAAATTAAAAGAATTCCAATGACTTCTAGGATCTGAGGTGGAAGACATCTGGGATGTCTGGAACGTATTAAAACTGGCAGTAGGGTGAGATTCAAGCAAAGGAGGAGAAAAGACCTGTAGGACCTAAGTGGATAAAAAGTAACATGAAGGAATTAATTAGGAGCATGTAGTCAGTCTACAAGAATTAGAAAAATTAGATCAATAAAGACTTCTTGGTCTTAGAGATGTTCTGGGAGTAGTATGGGAGTTGACCTCAAGGAGACTGGAGGGAAGAACTTTAGATACTTCATCTATAAAAACTACAAAGGAAGGATGGAAGAACTGGACTCTGCACTGTAATTGTAGTTGAGATTAAGGGTAATTTAGGTATGATCCTTAAAATTAACCCATAGCTGAAAAGTAGTGTTTTGCTTCTTTTTCAACAAGCAGGATAAGGTAAGGACTGATATGTGGGCTGAGAGCAGGGGCTGTCCAGCTTTAGGTGGACTCCAGAAAATGCCCAGGACAGAGCAGGACCAGGGCAGGTATGGGCTGTGCTGCCTGTTCCCTGCTATTTTCCAGCCTTCATATGCTCCACTGTAAGGATTGTGGATTTACAAGGTAAGACAACCTTATAAGACTGAGAACATAAAAATGGGAATTCCCTCAGATAAAGAGAAGCACTGCTGTGGGTGAAATACCTGGATTGTCTCAATATGGACCCACAGGAATGGGCTGAAATTCAGTGATACAAGTTGCAGACATAACTAGGGATTTGCAGCAGATTGTTCATCTCTTAACCAGGAGCACACAGTCTGAGATCAGCAAAAGACACTGGGGATCCTCTGCAGCTCTGTGAGGAGGGTGGTGGTTCATGTTCATGACAGAGCAGCTCAGCTGGGGCAGGTTTAGGAACAGCTCCGAGATCGAATTGGGCGCAGGAAACCTGAGACTGCTCTTTCTGTTCCTGGGAGGAGCCAGACTGCCCAAGGGACAGTTTTCCCTGATTCAAAGGGGCAGCTTTGGCAAGGCAGAAAGGCCATCAGAGTTCTTATTGCAGTTGTCTGTTAGTTCTTGGGTTCACCACTCTGGTTGCCCAGAGAAGCTGTGGCTGCCCCAGCCCTGGAAGTGTCCAAGGCCAGGTTGGACGGGGCTTGGAGCAACCTGGGCTGGTGGAAGGTGTCCCTGCCCATGGCAGGGGGTGGAATGAGATGGTTTAAGGTCCCTTCCAACCCAAACCATTCTGAATTCTGTGATCCTCTGAATCATAGTCGAGCGGGATGAGCTGGTGTGTGGGTGCATGGTTTCACAGTGATGATGTAGACAGTCTATAAAGAATTGTAAAAATGATCCCAAGTGATGCAGATATGAAACACCAGGTGGATCAATGTAATGTATATTGGAAAAAATCTAGTTTTACTTCACATGCCCTGCAAGTGGTGCTGAGTTGGTTATTATCAGTCAGGAATGAAAGGCTGGAGTTAAGAGTTCTGTGAGTGTGTGAGCTCTGTGCTCCCAGAGGCAAAAAACCCTCACCAAACCCCAAACCAATCTGGAATTGGATGTTAGGGTTTATTAGGAAAAGAAGAGAGAACAAAACAGAGAAAAATCCCCATCTCTGTATGAATACATTCTAAATAAATCTTGAATGTGCAGCATTCCCACCGCCCCCTCTGCTGCACCTCAAAGGCTGGAGGAGAATGGAAATGGTGCAGAGACAGGAACAATAAAAGAAACTGGATAATAAAGATTGCATCATTCTGTACAGATAAAGATTGCAAGGCAAATCAAAAGGCTGCTTCTGAGGGAGGAATTACTGAAGAGGCTAAAGCTCTTCAAAGGAGACAGCAGAGGGGTACCGAGGGCTTGGAATCCTGAGTGGTGTGGAGAAGCTGGTGCCAGCAGGATCATCCCACTGGTTTTCCACTGGACCAACAGGTTTTATCAATTGAAAAGTTCAGGCAGCACGTCAGAGGACATACTTTTTTACAGGAAGCACAGCTGAACTGTGTATCTGCTGCCCATGGGGTGCTGTAGATGCCAAAAGTTTAGTTGGTATCCACGGCAGCTTTGGCTCAGTCATGAGGGGAAAAATCACCAGTTGCTCTTGAACACGAAGAGCAGAGTCACAGAATGTGCTGAGTTGGGAGGGACCCACAAGGATCACTGAATCCAACCCTCAGCCCTGCACAGGATCATCCCCAAGAGTCACACCCTGTGCCTGAGAGGATCATCCATCTTAACACTTCCCTCCCTCCTGCCCCAGTCTCACAGGCTATTTTGCCTAAACAGTGTCATTTTTTTTCCATTAAAATAGGTTTGCAGAAATGGTTTTTAACTGACAGGGAAGGATTAGGTTGAATATTAGGAAGGAATTCTTCCCTGTGAGGGTGGGGAGGCCCTGGCACAGGTTACCCAGAGAAGCTGTGGCTGCCCCATCCCTGGAAGTGTCCAAGGCCAGGTTGGACAGGGCTTGGAGCAACCTGGGCTGGTGGAAGGTGTCCCTGCCTGTGGGAGTGGGTGGAATGAGATGAGCCTTCACCCTTCCAACCCCAAACATTCCATGGTTCTACGAATGTTTAATTTGATTTGGGCTTTTGCAGGTTGGGGGACTGGCCTCTGAGAACGTGAGATGGGCGGAGGCTGTGAAGGCCTTCAAGGAGCAGCAGAGCACCTTGTGTGGGGATGTCCTGCTGATCACGGCCTTCGTGTCCTACCTGGGCTACTTCACCAGGAAATACCGCCAGGACCTCCTGGAGGGCATCTGGAAACCATACCTGCACCAGCTCAACGTGAGTCCTGATTCCTCTGAAAAGCTGCTGTTCCTGGGATTAATGTGGCCATAAATTGTGGTGCCCCCAAGGATGCCCAAGGGAGGGGATCTCTCCAGTGAGGGGCAGCCCTGTGTCCCTGCTGAGCTGGGTTAAGGGGCAGGATGTAACCACATGTAATTTACGCCTCTGTGGGGCAGATGTGGTGTCCTTGCTCCGTGAAGTTGTCTGGATTCCTTCATGTCCAGAGAAAAAAAATCCCAAGGCTGGAGCCCAGGATGATGCTCTGCAGTTCTGACCAGCCATCAGAGATGGCCTGGAAGGAGGGACTTGCACGGAGAAGGAATTACTTGGAGCAGGCAGAGCTCACTGCCAGCTCTCTGGTAGGCTTGGAAAAGCTCCAGGTGTTTTTTTCATGCTGGACACAAGCTCTGTTCGTGCTGGCCATGCCTCTCAGCTGGTTGTATCCATGTCTTGCTGTTAGGACCAGATGGAGATCATCGTGCTGCAAACTCATTTAATATTTCGCTAATTTTTAGCAGGTTCCTCTCATACACCAGGAAATTATGCCAAGAAGCTTTTAAATAAGGTCACAGTGGGGCAGTGATGGCCAAATCAAAGGGCTGACAAAATCAGCCAGTTCCTAAGGCTGAGAGAGGAAAAAAATTCATTCTGCATTTTTTAATACTAAACCAGAAACTTAGTTAAGACATGCAGTATTGTTCCAAAAATGACCCAACTCTGTGCTTAGAGATTTCAAGGATATGCCTGAAATTCTGATAGGAAATGAAAGGCCCACTCTGCTCAGACACCTGGCACAGGTAACTCTGGTTGTCACACCCAGCAATGGCCTTCCCGTCAGAGAAGCATTTCTGGACCTTCTAATGCTGTTTTGCAGCAGAACAGCTGTCTAATGAGGGGTTTAGTGATGTCCTTCCAGGCTGTCACAGGGACAGGGAGGAGTGTGATCTGAGCCAGTGGGGCTTAGGCTGGTTTAGGGCTGTGCAGGCAAAACCCTTGGATTGCTTGTACAGTTTGTGTTTGTTCACAACAGGACTGGGGAAAGAAAACTAGATCAAAAGGACCCTGTAGAATGGGAAACCACTGATAAATCCTGGAATCACAGAATGGTTTGTGTTGGAAGGGACCCTAAAGACATCTCATTCCAAACCCCTGCCACGGGCAGGGACACCTTCCACTAGCCCAGGTTGCTCCAAGCCCCATCCAGCCTGGCCTTGGACATTCTGAGTATCCTTTAAGATCACTGAACACGCCTTCCAGGGATGCCTCTCCGGGCAACCTGTGCCAGGGCCTGCCCACCCTCATAGGGAAGAATTTCTTCCCAGTACGCCATCTGTCTTGAAGCCATTCCTCCTTGTTCTGTCCCTCCATCCCTTGTTCCAGGTCCCTCTCCAGCTCTCTTGGAGCCCCTTTAGGTCCTGGCAGGGGCTCTCAGGTCTCCCTGGAGCCTTCTCTTCTCCAAGTAAGCACCTCCGGCTCCTCCATCCTGTCTCCAGAGCAGAGGGGCTCCAGCCCTCGGAGTGTCTTCATGGCCTCCTTTGGACTCTCTCCAGCTGCTCCACATCCTTCTGATGTTGATTCCTTCAGAGTTAGAGGCAGCTCTGCAGGTGGGGTCTCATCAAAGTGGAGTAGGTGGTGAAAAGGACCTCGCTCAACCTCCTGCTCACACTGCTGGTGATGCAGATAAATCTGCTTTATCGGTCTTTAACTAAGCTAACTTTCCATGAAACAACCCACTGGAAGCCTCTGTCCTCTCCCCCCAGGTGCCCATCCCTGTGAGCCCGTGCCTGGCCCCCCTGGCCATGCTGGCGGACGAGGCGGCCGTGGCAGGGTGGCACAACGAGGGGCTGCCGGCTGACCCCACATCCACCGAGAACGCCGCCATCCTGAGCACCTGCGAGCGCTGGCCCCTCCTGGTGGACCCCCAGCTCCAGGGCATCCAGTGGATCAAAGCAAGATATGGCCCAGGGCTCCGAGTGCTCCGGGTTGGGAACAAGGGGTAAAGCAGCCTCCTCTCACAGTTCCACTGGGGTGTTTGTTTAACTGTCAGAGCCAGTGACACCGAGGTAAACCCTCCCCTGGATTTGCTCCTATTATCACAGAATCACAGAATCAACTGGGTTGGAAAAGACCTCTGAGATGATCCAGTCCAACCTGTGACCCAACCCCACCTGGTCACCCAGCCCATGGCACTGATGCCACATCCAGTCTGTCCTTAAACACCTCCAGGGACAGGGACTCCACCCCCTCCCTGGGCATCCCCTTCCAGTGTCTGATCCTTCTCTCTGGGAAGAACTTCCCAATGTCCAACCTAAACCTGCCCTGGGGCAGCTCAAGGCTGGGCCCTCTTGTCCTCCTGCTGGTTCCTGGGAGCAGAGCCCGACCCCCCCCGGCTCCCCCTCCTGTCAGGGAGTTGCAGAGAGTGAGAAGGTCCCCCCTGAGCCTCCTCCTGTCCAGGCTGAGCCCCCCCAGCTCCCTCAGCCTCTCCTCACAGCACTTGTGCTCCAGACCCTTCCCCAGCCTCGTTACCCTTCTCTGGACCTGCTCCAGCCCCTCCATGTCCTTCCTGAGCTGAGGGGCCCAGAACTGGACACATCACTCAAGAACTATCTGCTGTTCATTACTAAAATGATGGAGATTTCTCATTAAACAAGGGGTCTGTTTAGTGCTTGGCTCAGTTACCATAGAAACTCATCTGAGGGTGAGGATGGAATGAGCTGTGTGCTGAGGAGAGCTCTGATTGTCACAGAATCCCTGCCATGGTCAGGGAACATCTTCCACTAGACCAGGTTGCTCCAAGCCCAGTCTAACCTGATGTTGAATAATTCCAGGGATGGGGCAGCCACAGCTCCTCTGGGCAACAGGCCTGTGGTGTCCTCCCTCGGGCTCCTTGTAGGTGTCATATCCTGGTTTAGTCTCATCCAGGAGGGTGAGCGTGGCTTCCTACCTACTGAAAAGAGGGAGAGGGCTTGGGCATGGACAACCAAGGTGCCAGGAGGGTCACCATGCCCTGCAGACCAACTGGGCTGATGCTGCTCCCACTTGACACCAGCTGACCTGTCTCCTTGCAGCACCTCTGCATTGATCCAGATAAATCTTTCATGGGAAGGTTTTTCCACTCCTGGCTCCTATTTCCAATCAGCCCTCAGACTGCTCTCCTGCTGTATCAGCTTGCACTCATCTCTGCCCAGTAGTGAGAAGCCCCAGAGCCAAAACCTTGCTGAGATGTCCGAGCACTGAGGTTGGTTTTGAATACAGAGCAAAGCACTGGCAAGAGCCAAGAGTGGCCCAAACCTGGTGCTTGAAAATTCATGTAGATTTGGAGATGCCTTGGGGTTGCCCACGTTTCACCAGTGCCTCCTCTGTGGTTGCCCAGGTTGTTTTGCTGGTGCCTCCTCAGCTTTCCTCCTAGAAAATAATGAGTTACTGGATCTGATCTGGGATTAAAATAAGGTGAACTGCACCAGTGGGTTCTGGGGAAAACAAGGTATTTGCTAAAACAACTCCAGCTTTGCTCGCTGATGCCCAGACTCTTCTTGGGAAAGTCATAGTGACCACTGCTTGCCCTTGGAGCTCTGAGACCTCATTCTCTTTTTTGGGCAGCTGAGAGTCTGTAAGTGCCACTTTCTGCATCAGACCTTGGCCCCCTCTTACCCCTCTCCTCTCCCCAAATGTTGCCACGTGCCTGTAGCTGTGTGGACCCCTCTCTGTCCCCACATCCTCCTCAATACCAGCATCACACCCTGCTGTGCTGCAGGAGGTACCTACCAGTGCTGCTCCCCACAGGTACCTGGACGTGCTGGAACGAGCTCTGGCTGCAGGAGAACTGGTTTTGATTGAAAACCTGGAGGAATCTGTGGATCCAGTGTTGGGACCATTACTGGGGCGAGAAACAATCAAGAAAGGCAGGTGAGCTGGGGAGGGGGGTTTGGTGGCACGTGTGGGTGGGGGCTGGGGGTGTTATGCTCTCTGTTCCTCACCTCAGATCCAGCAGCAGTGACATCCTGCCTTCAGGGGTGAAAGCTGTTTAAGTCAGGCAATCACAGGTAATTCAGACACAGGATGGCTTGGAAATCAACCTGGATTTCTCGTGTCCTTGCACAGTGTCATTCAAACCTCACGTGAATAGAGAGACCTGTAATTGTCCCACTGTGCAGTGACCACTGTCCTGACACTGAATTATTACCAAAATAGTTCTTGCTGTTGTGGAGTAAAAGTAGCCTTGAATTTTACCAAACACTGCACAGAGTTCAGGAACACAGCTCCAGGTTTGAGCATTAGGAATATAAAGTGTTTTTTAATGAGGTCAAGTTCTCCATGGCAGCTCTGGGCCCCTCAGCCCAGAGGAGGTGAGACAGAGGGGCAGCAAGGGAGCTCACTTTGTCCTTAAGTTCTTAAGAATTATTTCCTTACTTGCCTAAAATACCCCAGGGTGTTGTAAATTGCTGGGCAAGGCAAACTATCTGCCAAGTGTGCAGGGGAAAACACCATGAGAAGAGTGGCTGAGCATGGGTTTGGCTGCAGGATGGAGGGGGAGAATCAGTCCCAGGGAAGGGATTGAAGTGCTGAAGAATGTTGAGCTGGGGGTACAGCAGTGAGGGTGCCAATCCTCCTCCTCCCTCCAGTGAAACACCCAGTCATCCCCTTTTGGGGCTGTATGTCTCTGCTCTCAGAACCCCCTGTGGAATCATGTGCTTCCTAAGAAAGGGGAAATAAATTATAAAGCCCACAGAAAGTCCATGGGATTCGTGTTTCCAGGCCACAAGCTCAGACCCCATGGACAGACACTGTCAGTCCCAGAGTCCCTTTGGTTCCTGTACTGGGTGGTTTCTCCCTGTCTCTGTTTTACATCTGTAAAAGTAATTGAGAGGCTAAAAGGACACCAAGTGAGTGATGTCTGGCTAAGAAGTGTGTTCAAACTCCCCTGAGAACATCACCATTCCTGCAGCAGTCCCAGTGCAGCCCTGAAAGCATTTCTAGTTTCTCTTGGTCTCTGGTTCCCATGGGCTTTGTTAATATAGAATCATAGAATGGTTGGGGTGGGAAGGGACCTTAAAGACCCTCCAGTTCCACCCCCTGACACAGGCAGGGACACCTTCCACTGTCCCAGGTTGCTCCAAACCCCGTCCAACCTGGCCTTGGACACTTCCAGGGATGGGGCAGCCACAGCTTCTCTGGGCAACCTGTGCCAGGGCCTGCCCACCCTCACAGGGAAGAATTTCCTCCTATTATCCCATCTAACCCTGCCCTCTTTTAGTTTGAATCCATTCCCCTTATCCTGTCACTCCAGCTCCTGATGAACAGTCCTCACCTTCCCTGTAGCCCATGGAAGGACACAATTAGGTCTTCACAAAACCTTCTCTCTTCCAGGCTGAACAACCCCAGCTCTCTCAGCCTGTCTCCACAGGGGAGGTGTCCAGTCCTCTTATCAGCTTCATGGTTTCCCCTGGACTCCAACAGTTCCATGTGGTTTTCATGTTGGGGAGCTCTGTACCCAGTGCTTCAGGTGGGGTCTCACCAGGGCAGAGTAGAGGGGACAATCACCTCCCTTGACCTGCTGTCCACACTGCTTTTGGTGCAGCCCAGGATTTGTTTGGTTTTCAGGGCAGGGTTAAACTTGGGTTCAGAGCATGTTGCTGTGAGCTTTAGTCTTTGTGTCAGAAGTGCAGAACAGGAGGAGGTTGGGTTTTCCTGGGAGATGTTGCCTCCTTTGAATGGCCACCAGTTGCTCTCCAAATGTGGCTTCATTGCTCAAGCTCAGTGCAACTGCAGAGTTGGCCTGATCAGAGCCAACAGACTGGGCAATTCTAGATGGGACCAATGAAAAGTTACCACAGGTTTATCACAGGATATTCTGGATTGGGAGGGACCCACAAAGATCATCAAGTCCAACTCTTCAGTGAATGGCCCATATGAGTATCAAACCCATGCCCTCATTGCAGAGAGGCTTTTCCTCCCTGTAACTCCAACCTTAAGGTAGAATTCAGACCCCCTCAATAGCCAGGAGGGTTCATGGTTGGAGTGTCCCTGCTGCTGGAAAATGGGAGCCTTCTCAAACGGGATCCAGAATGCACGGGCAGCTTTCTGGGACTGTTCTCCTAAATCAGAAGTGACTCAGGTGTCACTGCCAATTTTTAATGCTTTCTGCTCTAACAGTGATTTGTGTGTGGAGTGCCCAGTCCTGGTAGGTGACACTGCCCGAGACCTCCATCTGTCCTGGGGTGAACCACCCTGGGGTGAACCCCCTCCTGCCTCATCTTCTCGTTGCAGGTACATCAAGCTTGGGGACAAAGAGTGTGAGCTGAGCCCTGCCTTCCGCCTCATCCTGCACACAAAGCTGGCAAACCCCCACTTCCCACCCGAGCTGCAGGCCCAGTGCACTCTCATCAACTTCACCGTCACCAGGGACGGGCTGGAGGAGCAGCTGCTCGCGGCCGTGGTCAGCATGGAGAGGCCTGACCTGGAGGAGCTCAAGGTCAGGAGCTGCAGTTTACACTGGAGCAAGAATACATTATTATTATTATTATTATTATCTCCTCCTTCTCCTTCTTTTTCTTCTTCTTCTGCTGCTTCTGCTTTTAATTGTTCTGCTGCTTCTGCTACTCCTTCTCCTTCTTCTTGTTATTATTATCTTCATCATCACTGTTATTGTTATTGTAATGTAAGGAAAACAGCATTTCACCTGGAAGGTTACCAAGATTACTCACCATAAAATCAGGAGATTTCCCTCGAATTTCCCTCAATTTTTTTCCTTCACTCCTTTGTTTTCTAGGTATTTCTATGTATTTTGGCAACAGCTGTATTGCAATTTCAAGTTTTTTTCTCCCAAAATTTGGGTACGAGTCACTTTATTTTCCTTCTGTGACTGGAAACTGAGATTCCCATTATATCAGGTTTTTCTGGACTTCACAGTTTTAATTTTGGAGGCAGGATTAATCTCAGTTTTCAGCATTTATGGCATAGGATTCTCTGTGTAAATATTGTGAGGTTGGTAATGACATTTTCCTGTCCTGGTTCTTCCTCCCACTTCTTTGTAACAGGCCAGAATATTCTCTCTCTCTCTTTTAATAAGTATGGCTTCAATTTCAAGATAATTCTATAAGGAAAATCCTCTATTCTAATGACACTTTTAACAATCTAACAAACATGTATGATACTAAATATTTTCTGAGAGTGGGAATAAATTTACTGCACAGGTTCAGTCAGGCCAGGCTGGTTTTGTAATAATCTTTCCCTTTAATGAGGTTCTGAAGTGCTTTAGCTGGGCAGCCTTAATGATGCATTGAGTTTGAACCAGGCTCATGTGCTAATGAGCCAAAAGATGGCCTCAAAAATACATAATAAAGTGATTTAATGTGTGAGCCATGACTGTCTCTCTGGGGACACGAAGGACACAAAGCCCTTGGTCTGAGGGCTCTGTGCTGGGCTGACACGGTGTGGGATGGCATTTTCCTTATCTTTAAGAATGTTTAAGTTCTATTTCTCTCTACCCCCACAACAAGATAACACCAGAGCTCATCATCTCTCCTCTCCCTCATCTGCTCCCATTCTGCTCCAGCCCTGCTGCCCCAGGGAGGTCAGGATCAGAGAGGAGGAAGGCAGCCTGGTGTTCCAGATGTTCCAGATGTTCTGCTGCGTGGCCAACAGTCAGTCAGACAAATCTCTCCCCTGCTGGGCTAAAGGCAGAGCTGTGACTCCTGGGCTTGGGGGGGCTGGGCAGGGGCTCAGCACCTTCTGCCCCAGGGCTGGGTCTGATCACTGGGGAGCTCCTTGGAGGCCCAGATTTGGATGTTTGGGTTCCCTAAAGGAGAGGTCACCTCTCTAGGTGTGTATTAGTCCATCCTCTCCGCCCTGGGACTAAAGGGACAGCGGCTGGGAAGGTTTGGGGCTCTGGCTCAAGGGCAGATGGAGGTGGTTCCTACAGCACTGCACAAAAGTTACTGAGCTCAGAGCACACCTTCTATGTGGAGCCCAGGATTTATTGTTAACAACCTGATCCAAATCCATCAAACAGCTATTACTGATCCAATTCCAACAACACCAACCTTTTTAAAAGGGTTTCTCAACACAGCCTGTTTGCAATGATCTCTGTCTTCATTGATTCCCAGTTATCCATCTTTCTGTCCCCCCTTACTTTGAAGCTCTGCCGTCTTCCCAGGGTGACACTCCTGTGGCAGAGCCTGAGACTCTGCCCTGTGGTGGTTCTGGGGACAGATCAGTCTGTCCAGGACAACTCCTTCCTCTCACTGGACATTCAAACCAGGCTGGCCCAGAGTGAGGCAGCAGGACCTGGCAGTGAGACAGTCACAGCTCAGAGAAGCTCAAACCAGTTTGGGCCAAGGCAAGCAAAGCCAAACCCTGAGACCTTCCCCCTCAGGTCTGGCCTTTATCTGGTCATATCTGCAATTCCCTTTGGTGGGGATGACTTGCTCCGTGTGCTGGTGGCACTGCCTGCTCCAGCTGTGTCACCAGGGCTGGTTTCAGGTCTCTCCCATCAACTCCAGACTTCACTGTTTGGTTAAAGTGTATGTGAAATCCCTGCACAGCCAGGCTGTGATGGACAGTGTTGGGATTCTTCCTCAGGGCTCTGCAGCCTTAGATATTGGGAAGGAATCCTTCCCTGTGAGGGTGGGCAGGCCCTGGCACAGGTTGCCCAGAGAAGCTGTGAGTGCCCCATCCCTGGAAGTGTCCAAGGCCAGGTTGGACGGGGCTTGGAGCAACCTGGGCTAGTGGAAGGTGTCCCTGCCCATGGCAGGGGTTGGGACTGGATGGTCTTTAAGCTCCCTTCCCACTCAAACCATTCTGTGATTCCATGAAAACACAGGGAAATTTTTCCCATCTGGTTTGTGATGGTAAAATAAAACAATAAAAACAACAGAAAGGAAAAGGAAAGGTGGCTGCTGTGGCTGAGCTTGGAAGGGGTTGGCAGGAAATCCTGCAGAGCTGGCCTCGAACTCCAGTGGATTTTTTTTTTTGTTTCATGGAACGAAATTTGGGAGGCTCTGGGAGTAACCTGTTTCCCAGAAGTAGCACTCATGTATCAGCTGTGAAATAATGAGCTCCACTGCAGAAATGAGGAACCATGACCTTGCTGCTGCCTCAAACCATGGCAGGATGAAGCTGCAGGTGCTGGGGGGACCCAGAACTGCCTGCACTTCTGAGGGTGCTCCCAGAACTGAGTGGGGATTACAAGCTATGGGAGCAAAAATCCACCCCCCTCCTCATTAATAACTCCAGGCTCACAATCCAAGGGGTTGAATAATAGCTTGCAAATGTCATTTTTCAAGGCTTGCTATGCTCTAATGGCAGGAACACACTGAATTAGCCCTGTTTGTTTTCTGATTGAAGACTTGTAAAATATTTATCACCACAGACCAATTCCTGGGTGGAAAGCCTATGGAACAAGTCTTCAAAACAGCCTTTTCCAGCTGAAACACCAACAGCAGGCACACTTCAGTGCCCACCCTGCTGAGCACCTGGATTGCCGTGAACGTGGAATGAGTGTGTGCACAGCAAGTACAGGAAACTTCAGCCCAAATGTTGAGAGATGAGTTATTAATGACAGAGTCAGTTCACCTGCTGGGAAACCTCTGCCAGCAGAGCAAATCCTATGGGCTCCCTCTTGCATGGTGGGGCTGGGAGAGGCAAAGGGTCACATTTCTCATTCCAGACCCTACAGGGGGACATGTTTTCCCAGAACTGTCTTTGGAGCCTTGGATCACTTGGTTTATGAGACTGAATCTGTCACAAGCCAGTTGCCCAGAACTTGTTTCAATTCCACATGTCCCACATCTGCTGTTCTACAGAGCTGGATGGGTTGCAGGGCTATAAAACACTCTTAAAGTTACTTGAATTTCCTGGTTGTGCCACTTAACCACGGTCTGAGGATTTAAACTGTAGTGCTTTATGTAGCAGGGTGTTAGTGACTGACTTCACTGATGCAGAGAATAGTCACCAGGCTTAGATCTTCAGCAGCATCCCAATCAGAGGCACAGCCTTCCCACAGGATGTTTTCTGTGGTAAGTCTAAAAATACGTATGCACAATAGAGCCATATCATGGAATAACATAATATACCTGAAATCCAGGAGAGATGCCATTTCTCTGAGCAAACACAGAATAGGGCAATCACATTTCATGGGATCAAGCCTGTTCTGGAGGAGCAGCTGAGAAAGGAGATGGATGAGAGTCTTTATTTCCACCATGAACAGCATTAATGATGGTGCTTGTGCAGGGGAGAGGGAGATGGGACCAGAGAAATGGGAAGAATTTCTCTATGATTCACAATGTGCTTCTGAGGCAGGATGGTTGTACTGGGTTGTATCTGCTTGGCCTTCCTGGGCTGAGTTTGCAGGAGCAGCAGCAGGGGAGGCCATGGCTGTGCCCTCAGTCCTGAGCCTGAGCTGCATCTCGTGCTCTCCTCGGGGCCTCAGGGACTTTGCTGCTGGTTTTGCCACCAGATTTGATCCCTGTGGCCCCGTTGCTGGTGTGACTGGTGGGGTGTGGAGGAGCAAGTTCATCAGGAGAGGGGAGGAGCAGAGGGACTGCCCAGTCTGACTTGGATCAGGGACAAAGATACAGGGGATATGTTTGAGGTGGGGATAAAGGTCTTTTCTTCCTGGTTCATTCCCTGCATTTTCATGCATTCCTAGTGAAAAGGACTCAGGTTTCCTGGTGCTTTCTGTGCTGTTCAAGGTTTCTCTGAGTTGATGGATTGTTGGATATGGAGTAATCCCAGAGCTCCACCCATTCCCAGGAGTTGCAGAGAGCAGGAATAAGCACTACTGGACTGTGTCAGTTGTCAGTGAGAAGCCCATTCCCATGGGAAGTTGGTTAATTCTTCCTTTACCACGTGTTTGGTGGCTAAACCTTTCTGAATTTCTCATTTGCAGTCAGATCTCACAAAGCAGCAGAATGGATTCAAGATCACCTTGAAAACATTAGAGGACAACTTGCTCTCTCGGCTGTCATCAGCATCTGGGAATTTCCTGGGAGACACAGCCTTGGTGGAGAACTTGGAGATCACCAAACAGACAGCTGCAGAAATTGAGGAGAAGGTACAAAGATGGTGATAGCCTGGAGAAAAGTGTGTGTGTGTTGTTATCTTTGAGGATTCCTGGGTGGAATGTCACCCCTGCTCTGCCCATCTCTGCTCCTTCTGCTCAGCAGAGAACAGAAATGGGTATAAACTGACCTGCTCACCACTCTGGAGAGCTTCAGGCCATTTGGTGCTTTGCAGCCTTTGTGTGTTAAATGACCTATTTAAGACCAAGTGAAAACATCAGTGCCTGATGTAAAGACAATAAAATTTACACAGTGTATCAAGGCAGCTTTAAACGGTGCCAGCCTAATCCTGAGTGCATCACACTGCCTCAGTTAAGCTGGATTTTAGTGCTGACCAGGGACTGGTGTCTGGTGAGTTTGTGATCTTGAGTAAATCTGCAGGAACTTGGGCATTTCCTTTCCTTAGGGTATAAATCAGTGTTGGTATGAGCTGTGACAGTCAGCACTGCCCAGTTCCCCTGGCTGGCTGGGCTCAGCTAAATGCACTGTGGTTTTTCCTGCCACTGAGGGAACTTGGGAATTGTGGTCCTCATGCCAGGATTGTGCCAGGACTCTGGTATGGCTGTTCAGCTGCTTCACTCTGTAGCCACAGAGTCACAGAATCATTTAGGCTGGAAAAGACCTCCAAGACCATGGAGTCCACCCTGTGCCCGATGCCCACCTTGCTACCCAGCCCAGAGCACTGAGTGCCACATCAGTTGTTCCATAGACACCTCCAGAAGTGGACACTCCACCACCTCCCATCTTCACAGCCCACACTTGCCCCCTCCCTGCCTGCTGGCTGGGGGTAAGTCACCCACGTGATGGGGTTGGGCTGGAACTGCCTTTCACTTGCCTGTGTTGGAGCCTCAGTGACCAAGAGTTATTTCTGGGAGCCGTTTGTGGTGCATCAGATGCATTTTGCTGTCTGAGGAGGGTTTGCTTGAACCCCCAAAGGAGGTGTTGAAGGGATGTTTTGACCTGCCAAGCTTGGCATCATCCACTTGAAGTGGGTGTTCTTGAAGTGGTCCAGCTTCTAAACCAGCTGTGGTTGTACAGATGGTCAGTGCCAGCTCTGTGCCAGCAGGGGTGAGTTTTGGAGCTTGCAGAGCCCTGTCAGAGGTTTTGCTGCTCTGTTTTTATCTGTTTATGGAAAGCAATTGCCTGCCCCACCCCTGGCTTTTATTTGACTGGAATTATGAATCAGTCCAGCTCTGCTCATGGGCACAGATGCTGTGGGATGCTGTGGGGTGCTATGGGGTGCTGTGGGGTGCTGATGTTTGCACACAGCAGATTGAGGCTCCATCTGGGCTTCCTTGGGAAGGGTTGGTGCCCCAGCCAGATGTGCTCACACCAGCTCAGGGACAGCCCAGGGGACCCCATGGGATGTGTTTTAGGGGCTGTGTGATGCCCTCCTTGTCAGTACAGTGTGTGCTGAGCCCTTCTCTGCCACAGAAAACCAACAAGAGAGACACAGAGGAACTTTCTGCAGTGACAGGAGAAGGGGGAATGGCTTTAAGCTGAAAATGAGGGGGCTTAGGTTGGAAATTAGGAAGAAACTCTTCCCTGTGAGGGTGGGGAGGCCCTGGCCCAGGCTGCCCAGAGAAGCTGTGGCTGCCCCATCCCTGGAAGTGTCCAAGGCCAGGTTGGACGGGGCTAGGATCAGCCTGGGCTGGTGGAAGGTGTCCCTGCCCATGGGGGATGGGCTTTAAGGTCTCTTCCAAGCCAAACCATTCCATGGTTCTGTGATCCCACAGCATGGTTTGCTGAGCTGGCTGGATCAGCTCTGGCTCAGCAGTTCCTGGCCATGTACAAGACATGTCTGTGCACAAACAGACCCTGAAATAACCCCTGAGGGGCTCGAGAACATCACTTTGTGCTGCTGAAGTGGAATGAAAGAACAACCTGAGACAATGACAGGCTGGTGTTTCTGCCAAAAAAGATTTCCACATGTCCATCACAGCAGCTGCAGCCCTGACCAGCAAGGTGGGATGTGCTCAGTGCTGCTGAGGAAAGGCAGCAAAGAGCTGGGATAAAGGAGCATCTCCCAGCCCTGGGCAAGCTGCCTAAGAGGAGAACTGGGGCTGTTGGGCCCTGTGCTGGTAATGACCTGCAGGAGAAACTCATTGCTGAGAAAAACAGTTCCAGTCAGTGAAGAGCAGGGAATCCAGGGAGTGGTCTGGAGGGGACTCAGGAAAATGGAGAATTGGGCAACTGCCTGGAAAATGCAGTTAAATGGGAAGGTTCCAGAAGGGGGGATGCTGGAGGGGGCAGCTCAAGCCTGGCTGCACCATGTCCCAGGGGGCAAGGGCTGCTCCTGCTCATGTGTGGGTTGCCCACTGCTGCCCTGAGGACTTTGTGGCCCATGTCCACCTTCCCTGGGCTGCACAGGGGTGTTCTCACACAAATCCTGCTCTGTGTTTCCCTCCAGGTGCAGGAGTTCAAGGTGACAGAAGCCAAGATTAACGAGGCCAGGGAGCACTACAGGCCCACGGCCACAAGGACCTCCCTGCTCTACTTCACCATGGACCAGCTCCACAACATCCACCCCATGTACCAGTTCTCCCTGAAGGTGCTGTGCCCTCTGAGCTGCTCTCTCTCACGGAGGGTCACAGAATCACACAGTGGTTTGGGTTGGAAGGGACCTTAAAGCTCATCCAGTTCCACCCCTGCCGTGGGCAGGGACCCCTCCCACTGGCCCAGGTTGCTCCAAGCCCCGTCTAGAAAGAGTTCCAGTTTAATGCTTCAATAAATGGAAGACCTTGTTATATCCCAAGAAAGGTACTTTGGGAGCTGGAGGGTTAAATGGGTTGGAGTCCTGGCCTAGGACTTCTTCCAAACGATTTCTTACCTTGACAAGTGACCTGGAAAAAGGAATTGTGGAGAGACTACAAATGTTGAGCCTGATCCACAAAGAAGCTTTTCTCTTTTTTGTATCCACAACTCGTTTGTTGGAGTAATTTTATCAGAAAAATGTACAGAATATATTTTGTGCCTTTTGAAAGATTCATTCCCTCCACATACATAACAGATTCAGGGGTTCCTGAGGCTTCACCTTTAATCTGCGTCTTCCAGAGTTAGTTTGTTTTATGTTTTCCAGTTAATATTAGCAGTGTGTATAAATACATGAAAAGTTATTGGGTGAAATGGTTTTATCTAATAAATTTTGATGACAGATCATAAAACATTGTGTAAAGATGCGCAGAAATGATTTTAGAATACTTGCCACACAGCTGGGAACCCATTATAAATTAGAACACAAGGATTTATACGCTGCTCTGCAGCATGTTTGAACAGAATTTAAAGAAATGTTAAGCAGGAAAATGCATTCTGCAATTATTAATAATGCATTAGGTATCAGTGTTACTTTAATTTGTCGAAGCATCATTTTTCCTTTGTAGAACCCCAAAAATAACGCTGCCAACACAATCAGGCCTTGGCCAATCTGTGCCATCCATGGTTATTTCCTTCAGCTGGGCCCAGCTTACAGAGCCTTTGCATTGCTAAGCAGGACTTGGGCTTTATTTTCTTTTCCACTTCCTTTTTCCAGTTGCCTTTGATAATTTGCAAATGTTTTTTCTTGGATGGCTCTGAAAGTTTTATGTCTTTTCACATTCAGATCAGAAATGTTGATGCAAGAACCCTTATTCTCTTACATAAGAGAGTTGTTCTCGATGCAGGTCCCCATCCCCAGTGAACTTCACTGGCTGCCCCATCCCACTGATGCTGCTCCCTGCTCTTCTCAGCCACTCCTTGGCTGCACCCAGACAGTAAAATGCTCATGGGACTTCTTGAAATTGTTATTATTTAGAGCAATTGCTTTTCTCTGAGTTGAAACATGGGCACAATGTGAGTTGTGTTTTCCTCCTCTGCTCCACTGTTGTGACACCCTGCCTGGAATTTTGTGTCCAACTCTGGGGTCTCCAGCACTGCAAAGATGTGAATCTGATAGAGCAGGTCCAGAGGAGAACACAGAGATGATCCCAGGGCTGGAGCCCCTCTGCTCTGGAGCCAGGCTGGGAGAGCTGGGGGGGTTCAGCTGGAGAGGAGAAGGCTCCAGGGAGACCTGAGAGCCCCTTGCAGGGCCTGAAGGGGCTCCAGGAGAGCTGGAGAGGCATTCTGGGCAACAAATGGAGTGACAGGACCAGGGAGAATGGCTTTCCAATGCCAGAGGGCAAGTTCAGGTGGGATATTGGGAAGAAGTCCTTCCCTCTGGGTGTGGGCAGGCCCTGGCACAGGTTGCCCAGAGAAGCTGTGGCTGCCCCATCCCTGGCAGTGTCCAAGGCCAGGTTGGACGGGACTTGGAGCAACCTGGGCTGGTGGAAGGTGTCCCTGCCCATGGCAGGGGGTGGCACTGGATGAGCTTTTAGGTTGCTTTCAACCCAAAGCAGTCTGTGATTCCATGTGTCCTCTGGGATCCCCACTCTCTTGCTCCCCCAACATTTGCGGGGCAAGTGTCCCGTGTCCTCCCTGTGGGAGCACATTGGTCAGAGAAGCATTTCCTGTATCCCCAGTGCCTGAGTTCCCTCTGCCTGTCTCTGTGCTGCTTCCCTGGGCTCTGGAGAGCTCGGTGTCACAGGGGATGTCACCATTGCCAGGCCCTGTGTTCCTGGAGAGCAGCTACGGGCAGATGCAGGGGTTGGTCTCTAGATGTTCCAGGTGGCCCTAGAGATTGGCATCTCTAGTTCAGGGGGATGCAAAGGGGATCTCAGAGTTACCTGTCCCACTGTGTGTCCCCCCCAAGGCGTTCCAGAAGGTGTTCCAGAAGGCCATGGAGAGGGCGGCTCCGGCCGAGGGGCTGGCGGAGCGTGTGAGGAGCCTCAGCGACAGCATCACCCTCTGCGTGTGCCAGTACACGGCCCGGGGGCTCTTCCAGGCTGACAGGCTGACCTACACTGCCCAGCTCACCTTCCAGGTAACACCACCACGGGGGGCAGTCTGTCAGCAAGGTTCAGAATCCCACAATCTCTGAGGTTGGAAAAGCCCTCCCTGCCCATGGATTCCCCCTGTGCCCCATCCCCACCTTGTCCCCCAGCCCAGAGCACTGAGTACCAGACCTTCCCTGGACACCTCCAGGGGTGGGGACTCCACTCTGCCCACTCCCTGGGCAGCCCCTGCCAAGGCCTGACCACCCTTTCCAGCAAGAAATTCATCCTGATGTCCAACCTGAACATCCCCTGGTGCATCTTAAGTCCATGTCCTCTCCTCCTGTCCCTGTTCCTTGGGAGCAGAGCCTGACCCCCACTGGCTCCCCCCTCCTGTCAGGGATTGTAGAGCCAGAAGGTCCCCCCTGAGCCTCCTTTTCTCCAGGCTGAGCCCCCCCAGCTCCCTCAGCTGCTTCATAGGACTGACTCTCACCAGTAACAGGCACAGGTGATGAGTTGGATTTGAACTGTACTGGCAAAGGTTGTTTGAGACAGTAATACCTGCTGGCAGGACCTGGAAAACAGGGCAAAGCATACTGGCCTGGGAGGGTTTTATCCCAAAGAAATTCTGCCTACACAGCTGCTCTACCATGTCCAGTATTTTGTATAATTTTTAGTCCATGATCTGAGCAAGGAGACATTTGCATATTATCCCTGTGCTGACATCAAATCCAGTCAATAAATAGTGCTTGGAATGATGTTGTGAACTGATATGAAGTTTGTGCAGTGAATGACTGTGGAAATGCCCTGACATGCAGAATCACAGAGTAAATAAGTTTGGAAAATACTTCCAAGAATGCAGATCTGAACCAAGATCCAACTGCTGAAAAACTGCAGGGCTAATTAACCTTGACCAAGGGATGGCCAAGACTTCTTTTAGTTCTACATAACAAAATACTGTGTGTAAAAGGGAAAGTGTATATATACACATATGTAGAAAAATGGATATTTTGTTAATAAATTGTGTGTAAAAAGTCAGGTTATATTTTGCAATGTCAGCCATAATTCTGACCCACAGGACACCTACATTTTTCAGCATATGTCTCTAAACAAAGTGTTTCAGTAGCACACATCGTGCTTGTAACTACAATAAACACTGAAAGTAATTAATGGGTCCTTTTATGTGTCAGGAAAAGCAGCAGCCCCAGTGTCAGTGTGTGGAGGCACCTGGGTGATGGGCACAGGATTCTCCCACAGAAAAAAACAGTTTGTTCTTGAACTGGGTCCCTCGTGCCCTCAGTGACGGGAGGGGTGCCAGGCACACCTGAGGTGGCACTGCCCTTTTGACATCATTGGCATACAAACCAGGATCTGTGACAAGGAAATCACACACTCCCTGCTCCAGCACTGGTTTTCCCCTCCTCCCAGAACTGGTGTTCAGGGTTTTGGAGTTTGGGATTTCAGAATTCTGTCATTACACTTGGAGCAGTGGCCCCAGCTGGGCTTTCCAGAATGACCTCAACCATGGCTCTGCCAGTCTTACTCCATTTATTCCTGAAAGCCATCACAGGTACTAAAAACACTGGAATATCCCAGGTGCTCTGCAGTGTTTGAGACCTCATGGACCTGCTTATTCTCTTGCTGCGGGAACCAGGAGGGTGGTGGTCATTTTGGTTTGACTTTGGTTGGTTTTGCTGTTTGTTTGTTTTTTATTTTTTCCCAACGTTCTCAGTTTGTCTCCACGTGGTTTATAAATTGAACCAGACAGTGAGAGATGGCCAGCCCTCTGGTAGCATTCCCTAAGGATGCTCTGGTTCCTCTCAAGGAAGTTCTCTACTCTCCAGCTGTGGATCCCAGCCCAGGGACCTGCAGCAGGCTCTGGCAGGGACTGCTCCTCAGGGTGCTCCCGTCCACCTGGATCACAGCACTTGCCACACAGTTTTCCCAGCTTTGTTCCTCTCCTGTTGCCAGTCTCCATCCTCATTCCTGTTCCTGTTTTGGGGACACCCCAAGCACCTACATGGTATGTCCATCACACTTCTCCAACATGGGGCTCTGAGTACATTTTAGCCACACATTTGGCAGGTACACGAGTTGAATAATCAATCTGCTGCTCAAGGATATCTTGTTTGTTTGGAATTACAGATCCTCCTGATGAGTAAAGAAATCAACCCAGCAGAGCTGGATTTCCTGCTGAGATACCCAGCACAGCCTGGAGTCATGAGCCCTGTGGAGTTCCTGTCTGACCATTCCTGGGGAGGAATCAAGGTACCTGAACCATGGGAAATCAGCACCCCTTATCTCCTCCAAAAGCTTTTCTGCCCTTCAGGTGGGTTCTTGTGGCACTTGGTAAACAAAAGTCCTGACTATACATGAGGAGAAAGGCCCCAGACACAGAGAGTTCTGCAGGTACTGACTTGGGGAGCTCTTCTAGAATGAGAACACCCTCTGGGGTTTGTGGTTATGGCTTGTAAAGGACACTGAGATGCCACAGTAGTTTTTAAGGTTTATAAGACCATCTGCAGAGCTGTGCTGGGGTGGGAGAGCTCCCAGACCTGCAATGGCAATAAGCAGGTCCAACACCTGCCATGGGTTTGGAGTGAGAAGGAAGGAAGAGCATCCCAAGGAGATGTGAGTTATCCCATCTCTGCTCCCATTTATCAACAGATGTGAAGTGTGCTGGGTTTGGACCTGATTCAGCTGGGTGGGACTTGTTTTCTGGTTAAAATATCCTCCAAGTTTTGCATTTCACTCACACCTTGCTGGAGCTGAGGTTGTGTCTCTTGTTTGATTGTGGTCTTTGTGGGGTGTTTTCCTTCTGCTGTGAAGTGGGGAGTGAAGACATCTCAGTTTCATTGGGATAGTTCCCAAATTCCCACATGGGACATTGGTTTCTCCCTTCCTCCCTCTCCCACCATTCTACATGGAGGATTTATGTGGTTCCTGCAGGGTGACCAGGCAGAAAATCTTCATCCAGGCCCAAGACATGTCTGAAATTCTTTGCCTCTTTGTGTTGTTTCTTGGGGCTTTTCAGAGTCTTGCAGGAGCCCTGGCATAAGGTGCCACACTGCCCTTCTAGGCCAGACTGTGCTGGGCTTGCCTGGGCAAACACTGTCCTGCAGGTAACACAGAGTGCAGACTGAAGCTCGAGAGTCAAATAAAGTTGATATTTCTAACACAGGTGGCCCACAGTGATTCCACATGGAACAATTCCTGGCAGATGGGGCTGCCCTGACCAGGAGTTATCATCCCTGTCTCATCACTGGCACTGGGGACACGGCCTCTGCCTCATTCTGCCTGACCTACCTCATATTAAATGTCACAATCACATTTTCAACCATAAAATAAGCTTGGAACTTCTCACTAAACCAGCTCTGTTCAGCCTCTAAAAGGCACATTTCCATAATAATCAAGGAATTTTAAAAAAAGCCTACACCCTTTCCTTAATCATCTTTTGTTCAGACAGCAGCAGCTTTACTTTTGTTCCTTCTTTGAAGACAAATTAAATGGACATTTAGGGTCAATGCACATAATCAGGAAGACTCAGCCATCAAGCCCACGAAATACAGGCTTTGCAACAGCATATTGTGCCTTTGGGCTGTGCAGTCTGTGTGGACTGGAGATGTACATCCATATTATTGCTTGAAATCATGGGTTTTCTCAACTCTGCTCTGTCCCTGCCTGTGTTCAGCCTGGGAATTCAGGGGGTGAATGGAGCATTTCAGTTCTCTGGACACCTCTGGGTTGGATTTCTGCACTGCTTGGGAGGTTCTGCACAGCAAAGCTTCTCTCTACTTCAGTTCTCTGAGTTTCCTCTGGAATGTGAACTTCCTTCCACAATGGATTTTGGAGATTTCAGGCTCTGATTCTCATTTTGGAGATCCTTTAATGCATCTTAGGAAACAAATATGTTTTTTGGCACTGAGGACATGGTTTAGAGGTGGTGCTGGGTTGATGGTGGTTGGACTTGGTGATCTTAGAAGTCTTTTCTAACCTTAATGATTCTGTGATTCTCTCTTACACTTGTAATAGACCCCAGGGTGCCTTTGCCTCCTGCCTGCAGGTGGTGCATTGTCCAAGCAAACACCCCCTGGGTTTGTAGGGAGTTTTCTTTGTGAGGTTCCCCTCCTGTGCTGCCAGTCCCGTTCAGGGAGGGTAAAATGGCCTCTTGTGTTTCACCAGGATTTTTGCCACTGCCTCACTGCTGTGCTGAAGTTGGTCCAGTGCCAGCTCAGGAGCATCTACACCAGAAGGAATAGTCATTAAATAATTATTAATAGTCATATATTCCCAGTCATTCATTCCTCAGGATTTATTGTTGTATCTCTCCTGCCCAGAGGGGCAGCTCTGATCTCTGCTCTGTGTGAGCAGGGACAGCCCCCAGGGAATGGCTGGAGCTGTGTCAGGGCAGGCTCAGGGTGGATCTCAGCAAAAGGTTCTTCCCCCAGAGGCTGGTTGGGCACTGAACAGGCTCCCCAGGGCAGTGGGCACAGCCCCAAGGCTGCCAGAGCTGCAGGAGGGTTTGGACAATGCTCTCAGGGTGGGATTGTTGGGGTGTCTGTGCAGGGCTGAAGGTTGGACTGGATGATTCTTGTGGGTCCCTTCCAGCTCAGGATGTTCTCTGATTCTAAAATTTAAGTTCACAGCTCTCAGGAGTTCTACATACTCTGCTCCCAGGAACCAGCAGGAGGACAAGAGGGCCCAGCCTTGAGCTGCCCCAGGGCAGGTTTAGGTTGGACATTGGGAAGTTCTTCCCAGAGAGAGGGATCAGACACTGGAATGGGCTGCCCAGGGAGGGGTTGGAATCACCATCCCTGGAGGAGTTTAAGGACAGACTGGATGTGGCATCAGTGCCATGGTCTGGGTGACCAGGTGGGGTTGGGTCACAGGTTGGACTGGATCATCTCAGAGGTCTTTTCCAACGTGGTTGATTCTGTGATTCTGTGGGGGCTTATTTAAAGATGGGCAGGAATTAAGGGGGGGCTGTCACCTCAAGTCCCTTCCCAGGTGATTCTCTTCGAGATGAGCCCTTCCCACTCAGCTTCCTCATCCCCTCTGGGTCTTTGGGGGTTGTGATTGAGATGAAAACTGTGTAATGCCCAGAAATGCTTCTCTGCATCTCCCCTTCTGCTGAACTTGGACAGGACAGGATGGAAAGGTTTCCAGTCATGCTTCACAGCTCAGGTGTCTCCAGCCCCTGCCTGCCTGGCCCTGTGAGCTGCACAGCTCCAAGAGCTGCATCACTTGCCAATAATCTGCACTAATTTTATGAATTTCAAGATTTTCAGATAGTAAATTCTACATTCTCAGACACTGAATACCCTTCAGATTTTCTTTTGTGATAGTAGTATAGATTTTGCTAAAAATAATATGGTTGGTGTCAACTTTATTAGTGTTTATGTTCTGTTAATGTCTGTTGGTTTATTAGCCTTTGAGTTTTTGACAATTCCAGTTACTTGAGGCATGGGTTTAATACAATCACATTTTGTCACAGGCTGCTATAATTAGGTTAATTAGTCATGGCTTCTACACAGCTTATTAGCAGGCTAAAATCTCCTTTTCTTTCATCAAGAAGATTAAGTTCTATAATAAATTGTTTCTTCAACAAAACTTGAGCAAAGTACATTTCAGATTCATATTTCAAATTCAAAATGAAATTTAGCATTTTGCTAATTTTTCACAGAAACTCTGAAAATGCTCCAGCCCAAAGGCCTCTCCTTGCCAGGGGGTTCTGGCCAAGATAGTGCCAAAAGAAATCAATATTGATATCTGTGGCTCGTTCTGAGCCTCCCATTTTGGGCACATTACCTTCAAAGGGAACCTCATTAAATGTTCAGGGCTCTGGGAGTGCAAGTGGCCTTGTGTGACTTGGCTTATTATTTATTGGTTTTGGTTGATTAATTATAGATATAGGCCAACAGTTTTGCTGTTGTTTTCAGCTTGTGGTGCTGGAGCATCTGACACACATTTATGATTTATTTTTCCAGCTTTTTTTTTTTTTTAAGTTTAGTCTGAGGTCTCACAGAGCATTTTGTTGTAAAGTGTGTGCAGGGAAGCTCAATATTTAGCCCTGAATGAAGAACTCCATGTACCTGGCCAGAAGGTTTGTAAGGAAAGGCAGCAGCTCTGATTAGATGTGCTGATAGGCTTGGGTACATTTCAGGCTCTTTGGTGCTTCTTAAAGCCTGAACAGGAATTGAATTCAAGCTAAGTACAGGTTGAGAGAAGCTGCTCTGGGCTTGGCTTGATTGTGTTCATCAGTCCGGGTGTTTGAGGTGCCTGGGGAGTCCCAGTGGAGGCGAATCATCTGCTCTGGAGCAGGGGAGGTGTTGGCAAAGGGCACAGCCGTTAACACCGTGCAAACACTGCCCCTGAGTCAGGCAGGGACAGTTAAGAGCAGGGAGGGGACACAATCCTGCCATTTAATGAGAGTAGTGCCTCTGCCTTTGGTGCTCCATAGAGTTGGTCATTCCAGTTTAGGGCTGTCATTTCAGGTCCTTAGCAGCGATCTCTGGAGAAGGCAAAAGTGTTCTTTTAATGAGGTTTTCTGTCTCTTTTCAATTTCCTTTATTACAGGCTGTTGTGCCTCCCTCCCCCTCTGTGTTCCCAGTGCCTGGATTGAAAGTTTTTATTTCTGTTGGTACTGCTGAAAACATCTTTAGTGTTCATGCAAGGCTGGCCATGTCTCCCGACTTGGCTGGTTGTTTTCTTACCAGTAAATGTTTGGACACACCTTAGACCAGGGAGATGTTGCTGCTGGAACTGCCCAGGCCCTCAGGCCGCAGCCACGTGCAAATGGCCCTTTAAATATTCTCATTTGTGACTGAATTAACATAGAATCCCTGTAGAGATTGGCCCCTGAAGGGTTTTTCCTCTTTTTTTTCTCCTTTCCTTCACTGAAAGGTATCCAGTGCCATCAGATGAAGGTGTTGATACCTAGATGGGAGCTGAGTATTCTCTGAGTTGATGTCCTGTGGTCTCCTCAAGCCTGGGTGAAGCCCGGGCTGCCTGCTGAGCCTGTGATCCCCAGGTGTGGAACAGGCAGCTCCTGCCATCCTGATCTGAGCATGGGTATAGAAATTACATCACTGGGGTTTAGAGTTGTTCAATATTCCAGGCTATGTCCAGACCAACAAGTGAAAGGGTCAGCAGTGGTTTCCTGGCCCTGGCAGCACCTGAATCCACACAGCCAAACTGCCTTAACCTCCCAAACCAGAGTGACCTCATCTACTGTTTCCTGTGGGCAGCCCCTGCAGTGTCCCACCCCT